GCTAATTTGGCTGTTTCTACAAGATGGGTTCTTGCCTGACGAAACATAAAGACTCAAAGCCAACGCATAATGGGTACGGATCAGGCGCAGCCACCACAGCTACGGCCGCCATTCATCAACAAAGATACCAGGAGCCAGCTAGGCCTGCGCCGGCTCAGCCCCAAGTCTGCCACATCCCTGACAAGCCAGGCACTCAAGCCCCATGGAAGCCAGTGGCTCAAGCCCCAAGCCCCAAGCCTGCTCCCAGGGTCGACACAATTCTCGGCAAGCCATTTGAAGAGATAAGGAATAACTATACAATCGGTAAAGAATTGGGGAAAGGCCAATTCGGCGTGATTTATCTTTGCACCGAGAATTCAACCGGGAAGCAATACGCTTGCAAGACGATATCCAAGCGGAAACTGGTCACCAAGAGTGATAAGGAGGACATGAAAAGGGAGATTCAGATCATGCAGCATTTGAGTGGACAGCCTAATATTGTGGAGTTCAAAGGTGCTTATGAGGATAAGCTATCCGTTCACCTTGTGATGGAATTGTGTGCTGGTGGTGAGTTGTTTGATAGGATCATTGCCAAGGGACATTATAGTGAGAGGGCAGCTGCTTCTGTTTGTAGATCGATTGTAAAGGTTGTCCATGCTTGTCATTTCATGGGAGTGATGCATAGGGACCTTAAGCCTGAGAATTTCTTGTTGTCTAGCAAGGGTGAGAATGCTCTTTTGAAGGCCACGGATTTCGGCTTGTCGGTGTTCATCGAAGACGGTAAACTTATGCAGATTCCTATTGTTTTCAGTATGTTGTGCTTTGTAGATCTTTATGGTGAAGATCAGTACATGTGAATTGTTTAATTGACCTTAACCACCTGCTCTTGAATGATTCTAAGCTTTTCCTTAACTCCTAAATGATACATCATGAATATTGATAACTCCTAAATGATACATCATGAATATTGAAAGAAGAATGAGTCAATTAAATCCAATTGAATTGTAAATTATTACGGTTTGCACGTCATTTGCTACCAATTAAGATGACAGGGTAAGGTAATCTTCCTCAACTGTTTTGATCATTTCCTTTTAATTCACTGTCTTTATGTGCATTCAAAATCAGTTTAATTGTGATACGATTCGTGACCGCGAATATATATTTTGTCTTTTCGTATATTTCATGCCTGTTTTACGGTCCATTTTGCGGGGCTACATGTCCGATTAAGTTCAAAATGCCTTCACTCTGTGTTTATAAGCTGAATAGGTCAGCAGTCTAATCTTCATGCTATGTTTAGCGGTAAATAAGTTTCAGCTATGCATAAAGGAAGGCCTACTTTCAAAATACCACTAGTTTTAGCTTATATTTTCTCGATTTCCTTTGAACCGATTTCAGGAAAAAAAATCATTTACGTGATGATGGGAGTTTTCTTCTGTAACTGTGTGAAAGTTTAGTATGGATACATGCATTCATATGTCTATCCTGATAATATGTACTATGCATGGCAATAATTGTAGGTCTATGTGTTATATAACTGTTGGCATTCTTTCTCTGATTGTTCTTGGTACCTTTGGCAGGAAAGGTGTATCGAGATATAGTCGGGAGTGCATACTATGTTGCTCCTGAAGTATTAAAGCGTAGATACGGAAAGGAGATTGATATTTGGAGTGCAGGAATAATATTGTATATCTTACTTAGTGGAGTGCCTCCATTTTGGGCAGGTAAAAACCATTCAAAGCTTGCTCAAGGAAAATAATATAATCGATTCTCAAAACCTATAGCCGGCTCTTCACCGATTTGCTTTCAAAACTGCTACTTCAATGTTGGTAAATAATTTAAATGATTCTCCTAGCAGAGAATGAGAAGGGGATATTTGATGCTATTTTGGAAGGAGAAATTGATTTTGAAAGTCAGCCATGGCCATCTATTTCAGACAGTGCCAAGGACCTAGTCCGCAGGATGTTAATGCAGGATCCGAAAAAGCGGATTACTTCTACTCAAGTCCTAGGTAATTACTTATAGTACATTAGTACTTATTCTTTTTTAATGTCTGGGAATTTGTATAAGTGATTAATCTTTGGAAATAGGTTCAGAGATTTGTATTTTAAATGTTTGTTCTATCTTCATCTGGTATGCATCTTGGAATTCCATCATGTATATTTGTTACAAGGAAAAACGGTTTTAAGATGCTTAAAGTACTTCCTATATGTGTGTGTGTGTTTTATTCCGGTACGCCTTGCTTGGCTAACAGTTTAATTTAATTCATGTCAAGCCGAACAAAAGATTGAAATTATGTGGTTTATGCAGAGCATCCATGGATAAGAGAGGGCGGAAGTGCACCAGACAAGCCACTAGACAGCGCAGTCCTTTCGAGAATGAAGCAATTCAGAAGAATGAACAAACTAAAGCAACTTGCGTTTAAGGTAAGTTCAAATCTATTTCTATGGTATAATTGTTTTCCAAAATTTGTAGTCATGAGGTATTTGAAGTTCAATATATGATAGCAAACAGGGTAGTTGTTTTACAATCTCCTGTTACTCGGTTGGTAATGTGACTTGCGATCTAACAACATGCCTGGTGGGTTATAGGTCATTGCTGAAAATCTTTCCAGCGAAGAAATCCAGGGTCTGAAGCAAATGTTTGCAAACATCGACACCGACAACAGTGGCACGATCACCTATGAGGAACTTAAGACTGGATTAGCTCGACTTGGATCAAAGCTCACAGAGGCCGAGGTTCAGCAACTAATGGAAGCTGTAAGATACTAATTAGATCTATAATCTGTCGATCTTTTCGATTCATATCCTAGCTAGTAACTCTTGGTTTTACTTGTTTCAGGCTGATGTGGATGGAAATGGTTCTATTGACTATATTGAATTTATCACTGCAACAATGCATAGACATAGGCTCGAAAGAGATGATCATCTTTACAAAGCTTTTCAACATTTTGATAAGGACAATAGTGGGTGGGTATTTTTTTGTCGTAACACTGACGTTGATCGTACTGTTCTTTGTCCATGGCTAGACATCACTTTAGAATGCTGGTCCTGTTATCGGTCTTGTCTTTGTATATTGAGTTCTGCATCAGATTGGTTATAAACGTGCTAGTTATCAAAGCATCATTTTAGGATACTGGTCTCGTAATTTGGAGTTTTGTCAGTATAATAGTCGGTTGCTGTCTCCATCAATGACACAAATTAATCATTAAATCATATATGGAAGGAGTGAATAACTTGTTTGAAACATTTTTTGCAGGTATATCACGAGAGATGAGCTAGAAGTAGCCATGAAAGAATACGGAATGGGTGATGATGACACAATCAAGGAAATAATATCCGAAGTTGACACCGACAACGTAAGCCCTGCATTTCTACCTTTCGAAACACATTTCCTTTGTATCACGATGCATCGGATCTCACTTATGCCTTGTTTACAGGATGGTAAAATCAACTTCGAGGAGTTCCGGGACATGATGAGAAGCGGAACTCAACATACACAACTCTTTTAGATTTTATACACGACTGGAGATGCAGGAATTAGCAAAAAAGTTCCCCAAATGTAGTGCACGATGGCTGTAAGAAATCTTGTAGGCCTTCATTACAGGACTTCCTCTGGTTTTCGTTTTTCATTTTCTGAGTGTAATGTATCACATATGGTTTCCGTTTTCATTTTGAGAAGAGAGATTGTTTAATGCGAATCTTGCTTCAATTCTAATTTCCCGGTGTTCAAAACACTCGATCCTCACAGCAATGTCGATCTCGACTTGTTTAAAGTAAATATCAAACCAGGACTTGGCTAGTAAAACGCCTAGTGAGCTAAAGAGTAAATGAATCCTTCCTCCATGAATGGCCTCTCTCAGAAGTATCAACACCAACAGTGTCGGTTGCAGAAGTATTGGAAGCTTCACTTACAAAGTTTCGATTCGATCTTCATTGTCAACAATTTGAGTCTCAACAAGAATCCCAAGAACCTTCCAGGTTAGTTTCTGTGAACGAAAAGCTGTAGATGATGTGCTCAATCTATTCGATCGTTTTGAGTTTAGGAGATTTCGTATTATTTTGGATTGAGTCCTTTAAAGTTTAGATTGTTCGATTTTGAAGCTCGAATTTTTCAAGTCAAGTCATTTTAGACTATGGTAACTTCTAGTTTATATAATTTCAGATTATTTATTTGGATCGTTCATTTGAAATTTGGGTGGTTAGATTTAAATTGTTTTAAGTTTACGTCAACTTGTGTTCACCAGGCTCTCCCTTGATTAAAGTGGACAATAACAAGTTTAGTCCGTCAACAATTCAACTTTAACATTTTGAAAACAATTTCTTTCTTTTTTTAGTTTTAACCATATAATTTTATCTCATTCCCTAATATTAGATTCCTAATCTCGTAAAATCCATTCAAATTATAATATTCCGGAAATTTTATAATAAAATACAATTCAAATTAATCTTTCTTTTTGAAGTGGATGAATTTGAGTAATCATAACCATCACATTCAAGAATTACAAATATGATTATAAAGGCAACCATAGTCGATACATTTAAGAACTACACGTATTTGTATAAATATATTCGATAATTCGAAAGCTGTAATATATATAAAATAAGATACAACTTCAAATGAAAACTGAATCTATACATAATTTTTTTTTTACTATTATAGCACAATTAAATAGAAATACGACCAACATAGACCTTAATACGTAAATCGGAATAATCCGATGAAAAACGTATATAGAATGACAAGACTCAAACTCACACTACATAAATATACACATAATGATTCACGAACACGAAATATTAATATTTTGAATTAACGTATACTCAAATATAAACCTAAGAAAATGACGATAAAAATATTAGAATCAAATTTCATACATCATATATATATAAAGACCTTGGAGCCAAATAAAAACCATCATTCATTAACGAAAGCCTATGTTTCATAACAGTTTTCACCCCGACCAAGGGACATGTAATATGCAAATAAGTCTGAAAACAACAGAAGACAATCCAAACCTAGAGTTTTTTTTTATCTTACAAACGATTCATAATAGTTTAAAAACCATGAATCTTAATCTGGTATTTCTTGACGATACCGGCGTTAACGAGGAATTGTGAGACGTTCTTGCGCTGATCGCCTTGGAGTTGAATGATCTTGCCGAGCTCATTGTCCTTGACGACGTTGCCGTTGCAGCAGAAATCCTTCTTCAGGCTCTTGAGGATCTTCTCGTAGCTCAGATCATGCCTCAGCCCTTGAACAGTCGTCAAGCTTTTCTTTCCGTTCCGTTGTTGGATTCGGATATGTACATACTCTTTGGTCCCGGTGCCTCCTAATTCCCCGGCCTCCGCGAATGGATCGAATGTTGTCGGGATCTGAATGTCCAAATCAACCATGTACTTGGCTATGTCGGAACTTGAAAAACAATCTGCAGATGCTAGTTTTCTTAGAATACTAAAATCGACAAACAAAACTTCGAAAAAAAACTCAAGAGAATCAAGCAAAGAGACTAGAAGGGTTTTCGTACCTTGTCGTAAAACTCAGAAATTTGTTTGATTTTGATTCGATGAGAAACAATGTTTTCATGAAAGGGGGTGTTTATATAGGCAAAGGTTTAACTGTCGTAAACGTATTGGATTGGTTGTGATTAGAATCTGACACGTGGGTGGTGGAGATTGAATTTCTGTTTATTATTTTAATTGGGAATAATGATTATGAAGTTCCCCCAGGGTGGAGTGTAGTGGAAGAATCTGGAGAAAAAAAGTTGTGGTTCATCCAAATCAATTTGGAATATATTATTAAAAATATTATTAAAAATCAAATATTTTGTTGTGCTTTTGATTTGTTAGTGCCCGTCATCCATTTTGATGCAGTACAAGTTGCACTTTTTTATTATTATTTTTTAACCTACAAAATTTATTTTGCTTTGCTAGGAAGGAGCTTTATAATTTGTATATACATTATTTTATTGGTATGATTAAGTCATGTCAATACCATAAAAACAAAATATAAATATACAATTTTTCATATATTTAATTTTTTCATAATTGAATAAAATATATTTCAATATAATTTATTATGTGCTTAATAATAAAATAAATTTTAAAATAATAAATGGAGTTCTAAAGTTTATATATTATTTTATCATTTTTGAAAATAATTTAATCTTTTATGTTTTAATAATTTATTAATTTAATTTTATGATATTATCAAATCAAGTTAACTCATCGAATCAAAATAATAATAAATTAGAGTTGAACTAGAATAGTAAAAAAAAAAGTAATATAATATTTCTAAAAGAGTAATAAATAATTTAAGAGAAAAATACAGACCAAAATAATATCTAATAATCAGTGATTTATTTATATTCATATTTTAATTAAATAATCCATTAATAACTTCTATTTAAATAAATAATTTATTTATTATCTATATAATTAAATTAAAAAAAAAACAAAAACCTCTTCACCAAACGCACTCGTCAAAATTGAAATTGATCATCTCATTAGAGATTTTAAATCTTTATTTTATGATTAAACCATACCATTCATTATTGAATTGTATTATATTATATTTCACTTATTATCATTTTAATTCTTTAATTTCCTTATTTTTGAATTTTCTATACATTTTGCTATTTTAATGTAACAGCATCATCTTTACTTGCTTCTCTGCTCCCACAAAAAATTCTTATAATCTAACATCAGATAACTGTCTCATTTAACTGCAAACTCTATAGAAACAATAATTAAGAAAAAATAAACTATAAACTGATAAATATAATTTGAAATTCTTCGATTCAAGCTGCATATAAAGACCTTGAAAGTATAGAAGGTCCCTGATAACAAAATATATAATATCATCATTTTTAAATTTTAGGGTCTGTTATTTCAATTTTGATATGAGAGCCGCAACTAATGGTTGAAGAGGAGTGATGGGTTGAGAATCAATGACGAATCCAAAAATAAATTAATGGTCGGACTACTATAAATATAATGACAAAATTATCTAAAATAATTTATATATGTATATATATGGATTAAATATAGAAAAAAATATATTAAATGGACCGATATAATTTTCTCAACATAATTTATAGATATTTTTTATTTAGGGTAAAACAACCTATTTGGTGTCCCACCTATTATTAAATTTGTATTTTAGTCATTCAACTATTTTTTTTCTTTTCAAAATCATACTTTTTCTTATGTTTTTTTTCACTTATCATTAAAAAAATTAACAATGATGTTAACTTGACATTTTTAATTATTTTTTCAGTTAAATATGAGATTATCTTATGATGACACGTCAACATAATTTTTTATAAATGATTGATCAGAACATAATCAAAATGTATCGTTATGTGATTTAAATAAAAATAGTTGGCTGACTAAAATCTTGTACCATTTTCTAGACATGGGGTGAGTCATGGCCTAAATAGACCTAGGTCTAGATATGCCCCTATCGAGGATAATGGCCGCCTCTGATTCAAGAGAAAAAGAATATGAAAACGAAGAAGTAGGATCTTATTCTCAATCTTGATTGAAAATTTTATAGTGATCATTAATGCTAGTGTTAGTGTAGACATTATTTCTAAATAAATATAATCAGTTGATAATAAATTTGGTTATAGTAGATAATATGAGTTTATTAGATGTCATATCAAAGAGGTTGAGATTGATGTTGATCGAAAGATATTAGCCACTAAAATTAATAATTAGAGAAACTCTTTCCGAGGTTTCAAATGATAAAGTAGTAAAAATGAAAATATGACTCACAAAAAGAGAAATGAATAAAGTATAACAATATTAAAACCAATTGTTAGAGAATTTAATTATTAAAATATTAATACTTTAAAATCACAATTAAAATAATTTTGAATTTTAATAATTAATTTAGAATTTAAATTATTCTCATAAAATTAATCAAAAAAGGAAGGAGCTTTTTAGTAAATAAAATTCTCGAAAATGGAAATTTGAAAATAAAATGTTCTTTTATTATATTAATATTTTAAGAATTCAAATTAGATATTTCTAAAGTTAATTTATTATGATTGTTATGATATTAATATTTTAAAATTATATTAATTTTTTTTATAATTTAGGACTTAATTTAGAGTTTAATACTCATCAAATTAATCCGAAAAGGAATGGGCTTTTTAGCAAATAAAAGTTTTCGAAAATGGGAAAATTGAAAAGTTCGTTTTCCCCTTGTTGAAGTCGGCTTATCGTGCTTGTATCATCTCATCGTATAAGAGAGGATCGAAAATCACCAACGATCCCAATCAATCTCTTTGTCCCTCTTCCTCTACGAAATTGAATCATTAAAAGAGAAAATTTTGATGGAAAAGGCGAAATCTGCTCCACAAGCGGTTGAAATCTCGTTGAAGAAGCTCGATCTGAACGCCGATTGGAACTCTAAATCCCCTCTTTTGACTCCTTCGTTTCACTCTTCAAGTATTCTCTTTTTCTTTACTGTGTCGATTTTTTTGAAAAGTTTTGACAGAATTTTATGTTGTTTTCAATTGAGAAGGAACAAAAAAATTATTGTATGTAAATTTGTTATTCTTAATTGAATTTATTAAAAAGGCTACTTTTTTTATTGATAGAGTTACGCTTTGAGAAGACGAGACCTCCTAGTTTAGTGAGCTTGTGCCTTGGAGTTGTAGGTCAGCATCTGGAGGACATTATCGAGGATTTAAATGAAATTGCTGTTAATTTTCCCGCTGACATTAAGGTGAAATTTAATTATATTTGTTAATCCTTAATTTCTTGTAGTGACAATACTATAGTTTCCAAAGCAACGATGAATTTGGAATAATATGTTTGCTTAGGTTGATAGTTTCATCCTATAGGTAATTATGTTTTTGTTGGCTTCCCCAGGTTTTATAGTTTAATTTTCATGACTAGAAGAATTTCTTAATGATATGTTTCTATTTTATATCTAGAACCATTGCCTGAGAAACTTTTTATTAGTATTTTTCGAAGGCACATTGCTGGCAATTGTAAGACTAGCTTTCGAGGAGATGATGAATGTGTAAGACTTTGTTTGTTTAGTTTGATAGTTCCAACTTCCAGCCCATAAATGATTAGTTTATCATCATTTGTTTCCTTAGGGTTCATTTTAATGCTTTGACATTTAGTTCGTTTAATTGATATGTTCCGATTTCATAATTATCATCTTTGTTGAAGAAACTTTGTATTAACATTCTTCTAAGGTGCATTGCTGGATGATGAAAGATATCATTGGCAGCAATTATAAGAATATGGCTTTTAAGAGATGATGAAGATGATTAATGTATTGTCATATGTTTTCCTATGGTTCATTTTTATGCTTAGGATAATTGCAGTCATTTGTCGTTCATTGTTGGATTGCATAATGATACTTTTCGATTTTATATCTACTATCTTTGCTGAAGAAACTTTCTGTTGGCATACTTCTAAGTTACATTGCCGGATGATGACAGATAACATTGTCAGCAACTGTAAGAATATAGCTTTCCAGAGATGGGGAAGATGATTATTGTATTATTTTATGTTTCCCTATGGTTCTTTTTTATGCTTAGGAGAATTGCATTAGTGAAATGCTTAATGAATGTTCTGATTTTACATCTACAATGTTTGCTGGAGAAACTTGTTTTAGTATTTCTTCTATAAGACGCGTTGCTGGATGATGACAGATAGCATTGGCAGCAATAGCAAGGAGAAGAAAATTACTGAGTGATGATGTCATCATCTCATTGGCCGATAGTTCTTGGGAAATTCTTGACCTTTCAGGTTCAGATGTTACTGATTTTGGCTTGGCAAAAGTAGCTGAAATGTGCCAATCTCTTCGGGCCATGGATATAAGGTATAAAAATATGGATTTATCTTTTGAAATCAATTAATGAATTGATTACCGAGACATCTCCTATTCAGCCAATGCAAAAAAATTACTGCCAATGGTGTATCCGAACTAGTGCAGCACTGCCATTCGTTGGAGACGTTGAGATGCGGGTAAATTCTTATCTCCATGCATGTTATTTTTAGGTTCATTCAGGTCTCATGTTTTATGAATGATTGGTTCCCCCATGTATGTACTACAAATTTATTGGTTCTGTACAAGATAATCTTGAAAGCTCTAACATCATGAATAATACCAATCTCATATCATATGGGGTTTATCTATAGAATAAATAGACATGTGATATTTTGATTGAATCTTGTTCGTTTTCAAGTACGGAGAAAGAACTTTGATTTTAAAATTTTCTGAGCGTCACCCTGAAGACAGAGAAACTTATTAGACTTGGTCCTTTTTGTTTCAATCGTATGCAATGATATTGAAGCAGGATATTAAGGTTTTATGAGGGGTATACTATAAACCTCATAAACAAGTATGAACCAAAGTTAACATTGCAGGGGGTGCCCTTCAAGCGAGTCCACAGCCCGAAGATGTTTAGGCATATTGAAGCCAAAGCTGAATGATGTGGAGGGAGATTCTTGGGAGGAGCTTGATACCATGGAGATTGGTCATGGTGCACAGTCTTTACGTTGGCTTGTGTGGGTATGGACTTCCTCTTTCTTATTGTGTTCCTTTCATCCCGCTGAATCTTGGTGGTAAGGCTTGTTACAAAACCTTGTTACTTATTTTTTGGCAGCCAAAAATTGATGAAGACTCGTTGGAGATGATGTTGGCCGAATGTCCACGGATAACCGTAAATCCAAAGCCCTCACTCTTTGGCTTTAAAGGTACTGAAGTTCCTAGGGAGGCATTTCCGGATGTTGCTTTGGATGATCCAATAGTCAAGGACATTGATCCCAGAACATGGTCTATTTATCGGTCTACAGCTAAAGCAATATCTCAGACACTTCCAAGTGCCAATGAGTTATCCATAGCAGAAAAATTTAGACTAGCCTTTGTGGAAAGAGACACACGGTTAGCTCCGAAGCGGGCAAAAAATGCAAGACAGCATCAACGTCGATTGGAGAGGGAGTGGGTGATGACGAGTACACGAGCGAAGGCATTAGCTTTGGCATCACAAGCAACCAAATCTCTGCATGGTCGAAGCTGATGGTCAAGATATCCTAATTGGGGAACGCAACCTGTAAAGTACATGGTAGTGTAATGGCAATAACTTGATCTTGCATTTTTTGCCATCCATCATGATCCTCTGGGACCTGGAGTTTTGTTAAATTAGTGTAACTTGTTGAATTCTGAATACAAATGTAATACTTAGTCCTAAAGCGTTGCTTTCTGCGGACACATTTATGGAATGTAGTCGAGTCAAGCATATCTCTATTTGAAAGTCAAACTCGATGTTGTTCCCATATGTTACATATGTCATCATCTTATTAATTAAATAAAATTAACTAAAAATATCGAAAGAAAAAAGTGACATGAAAAATAAAAAAAATAATTAAAATATATCATTCAACATTTTTGTTAAGATATAATTTCAAAAAATAAGTCAAGTGATCAAGATAAAAATACCAAAATTTAAACCCTTCGCAATCTAAGAATTTGGAAGTGTCAAAATCCGAAACTATCCAGACCCAAAGAAACCTCATCCAATCCTATCTGTTTACCACCTCAATTTATTAAACAATAATTTTGTTAAAAAAATATTGTTTTCAATCGGTATTCTTTTATCATAATGTAATTTTATATGACAACAGAGTTGAAATGTCGAGTATTTCCCGACATTAGTAAAAAGGCCAATTCCTCTTACTCGCCATAATGAGGTTCTATCAAAAAGGAAGAAAATAAAGGAGGGAGAAGTCTACAGAAAAACCAATACAGTACCTTATTATTATTAATAAATAATAAAATATCACCATCACCGTACCAACTTAACAATACCACCATATTAATTTTGCAGTCGACATAAACCACTAATCAATGACACGCTTTAGTAATTGATTTCAAAAACTATGGAAAAATAATTAAGAAAATCAACTATATAAAATAAAATAACCCCACCCTGCGCGAGCACAAAAGAAATAAGCCAAACCAGTGTACGTGTATATCTATCTTTAAAACTTGAACTTTTGCAGCAGCCCAAAGTCGAAGGAGAAGTTATAGTTTCCGACCAAAAACAAAGCGAAAATTACCAGGCACGTCAGGAGGACCCACATCCATGGCTGCATCTTTCTCTTACCGCGATTGCGAAGTGGCGGTGGAATGGCCTTTGCCTTGCTCTGCTTTGTGAACTGAGTTGGCTTTTGAGACCTCTTTGCCACCGTTACTGGCTTCTCTTTACTTTGAGAGTCTTGCAGTGTTTCAGTTGGAGTTTCCAAAGTCGGAGCAGATTCGGTTTCATCTATAACACTTGCATCCCCTGATACTGATGCTCCCTTTCTTCTTTCTTTCTTCTTGGCCCTCTTTTCCCTTTCCTGCATCAAAAAGGATAATTCCACTGAATCGTATAGAGACGAAGCAAAATGTATCGACTATCGAGTATTGCTACGTTACAAGGAACTGACTTGGAATATTCTAGTGTTAATGAAAATGAAGAGTTCACCTTCTCTTTCTGTTCAGCTTCTTTCTGAGCTCTTAATTCAGCCCGGGCTTGGGCCTTCTCTGCGTTTCGCCTCTTCCTTTCTAGTGCTTCCTTAGCTTTAGCTATCTCCTCCAACCGTCGTTGCTCCCTCAATTTAGCCGCTTCCTGTTCCTTTCTCAATTCCTCTGCCTTCCGAAGCCTTTCCTCTTCCTCCTTTGTTATCTTCGGTTTTTCTTCTTCTGCTTCTTCAATTGTGTCCCTGCTAGAAGCAGTTGCTGAACCACTTGCTGGAGGAACAGGTTTTACGGGCTTTTCTGGTTTACTCGTCTCATTCTTTTGCTCCACGGTCTTTGCGGCAGGTTTATCCTTTGCTGTTTCAGCTTTTGCGGGACCTGTTTCAGCTTGTGTTTGTTCTTCAAAAGTTGAGTTGGACACAGTGCGATCCTTGGCAACTCTTTCGATTACTACTTGAGGAATTACAGGTGGCTCTTCATCAGGACCAAGTGCGCGGCCATCAAATGTCCTCAGTCTCCTTAATGTGCTTCTGACATTGCATCGGATGTATTCCTTACGGAATTCATCATTGTTGTTCCACAAGTCCATTACATTCTTAACCTGAACCATCAACTGTTTCGATAAAATAGAACATGAAAGTTTAATATCAAAGAAAACAAAATCAATGCATGGGCTCACCTGGTTAACACACAGATTTTGGAGTGCCTCTTTGTCCCCTTTCAAAGCCAAATCATTTGCTGCCTTTGCATCATCCCTGTACTGCCAAAAAAAATTGTTCTGCAAAATTCAAGAGTACGAGTCATATTTGATCGGTACTTTACTTCCTTTGTGGAAAAAACAGCTTAGTTTACATGAGCAAGATTCAACCGAAACAGGAACATAAAATGCAGTTTCATCACACTACAAAACCAGGATATATTGAAAAGACACAAAGTAAGAACGAGAGGAAAATAATGGAAAATAGAAATATCATTTTAGTTTCAGGGGAACGCTTTCACGAAACACCGGATACAGAAGGAAAATAATGGAAAAACATCCTTAAAGAAATTCTAGTATGCAATATACAGTTAAATTGACGTAGCAATAATAATGCATGATGTATCATAAAAACAAGTCTACAAAAACTTCCACACCTCACTACTTTAATACGTTCTTCCACTATTTAAATAAATTTCAATGTAGATGTGCACGCCTAACTGCCTTTATCCAATTAAAAGCATCTCTAAGGGTGAAGGCAGGAGTGACTGGATGTTAGCATGCATGTATGAGTCCTACACATTATAAGAAAGGCTTATAGAGTTTGAAAGTACCTTCTCATATGATTGTTTCTTCAAGCTCAACAACTGTGAATATGCATCTTGGCGGATGTCATCAGCAGCTTTGAACTGGGACTGCAATTTGTTTAACTTTTCAGCTTCATCATGATACTCTTTCTTAGCAGCCTTAGTGACTGCTTCAGCCTTCAGGAGATTGACCTTCAACTGGTCCGCTTCCTTCTTTAAAGACTGTAGATGCAGAAGAATGAAGTAAAATAAGCAGTCGAAAACAGTATTAACATTACAAAACAAAGATGCTTAACTTCTGGAGGACCCCCTTCTTTCATCTCAAATTCTACACAAATTTAATGTACAATACTAAGTAGATCTTAATCATAATGTGTAAAGCCAGGAAAAAGAAGCACATATTGAATTTAATACCTTCATGCGCTCTTTAATTTGTTCTTTTTGGTCCGGACCCTGCAGAACTTCATCCTGCTTACCCATATTAGATGAGATCCATTCACGAGTTTGTTTATATTGCTTGATTTGATGAATATACTGTTTTTCATCCTTAAGAGGCATGGTTTCATGCTGTATCATGTGTTCCATGTTTCGAATCTGCTTACGGGTGACATAGTTAGAACAATTAATCATATAAATAAGAAAGCACATTTAGACAAAAGAAAAATGGAGTAAAACAGAAACTACCTTGGCGTCAATATCCTCAATGTTCATTATAGATTGAATAGAATCTATTTCTTGACGTTTGGACCTATGCTGATCTCGTATTGCTCTTTCTTGGGATATGGCAGCCTCGACATTATCACCATATTTCTTGCAAATTGCCTATTAGTGAAGCATTTTATCAACCGTCAGAAAAGAAACAAACATATGAATTCTTTTCAGAAAGAACAGCATAAACATTCTTACCCTCATCTTTTGTATTTCAGTTCGAACAGCATCCCGACTATGGGTTTTCTCATCAACTGTAATCTGAGCAAGCCTGATTTTTTCTTTTAAATTTTCATCATCATATCTTGGGACCCTGATCAAGAAGTAAAATGGACTTCTTTTAACCTCGTCAAGGCCTTCTGGTCCTTCTGACTCCTGACATGTTACAACACTACCAAACCGAATTGCTTCCTTCATGACAGCAGGAGATTGTTTGTTATTGTTAGCATCACAAGCTGATTCTCTAGATTCATGTACAAGTTCAACGTTGTTAGAAATATCTGCAGCAGGTGCTTTCTCATCATTACTTACAGTAGCAACCGAATTACTATCATTTTGAACATCAACCACATCCACCACTTTTTCATCGGTTTCAGAGCTATGGCATTCAACAAGCACTTTCGAAACCTCAGACTCTGCAGATAAGATAGAATCACCACCATTGGTCAAGCATCTTGACTTAAAATTATCATCAATAGAACCACTCGCATCCTTTACATCTATCTCTTTATTCTCAAAACCAGCTCTACTATTCTCATCTGACTCAATAACTTCAGTTTCCAGTTTCTCGTCATCAACAGAAGAAGGCGGTAAAGCCTCAATTGCAGTATCACTAACACCACTTTCAACACTTGCATCATTATTGAGTGTAACTGTGGCGGATGTGCATTCCACGACATCAGCTATTGTATCATTAAGAACCCCTTCAACAGTTACATGCACATTCTTATTTGTAATGGGGGAGATAGAGCTTTCCACAAGTTCAGAAGGCTGACCTGAATCAACAGAGTCATTAATCTGAACCGTACCTGAAATACCATCCTCAGTGTGAACATCCTGCAAGGCCTCTCCACATTCATCGGAGAAAGAACCACTCCCAGTTTCTTTCTCTAAATTAGTATCATCTACCGAACCCAAATCTCGTTCAGTAATGTGTTCTAAGCCCAAACCACTTTTCATGGGAAACTCATCAGCAGCTGTTAGGCTTTCCCCAACTTTAACTGATTCAATTCCAGATACAACATCTGGGAGCACCATCTCAGTAGTTTCAGAGAACCTATTTTGTTCAGGCCTGTCTCCATTAACATTAGAGAAAAGACATGCAGAATCAGCTTCAACTTCACCACTGTTAGAGGACTCATTCTGTTCATCACTGGAGTCAACAAGAACAGCTTCTGAAACTGTGTCCTTTTCCCTAACATCAGGTAAACAATCCCCATCACGGTCAGAGACAGAGATGGTAGTAACCCCATCATCAGTTACAGGCAATTCACAAACCTCATTCTGTTTATTCCTCGTATCTACAGAAGCTTCAGAAACAGTGGTCTTAGCACTACCATAAGCTACACGATCTCCATTGCAATCATCAGCTACTACCATTCCAGAACTCTCATTCTCTTTTAACCTGAAATCGAGAACATTGGCTTCAGAAACAGCGACCCTAGCACTATCATTAGTTAAACCATCTCCATGGCAACCGTCATCATCAGCTACGATCATTTCAGAACCCCCATTCTCTTTTGACTTGGAATCGATAACATTGGCTTCAGAGACAGTGGCCTTAGCACTATCATTACCTAAATCGTCTCCATTGCAGTTGCCATCATCAGCTACAGCCGTTTCAGAGCCCTCATTCTCTTTCAACCTGGAATCGAGAACATTGGCTTCAGAGACAGTGGCCTTAGCACTATCATTAGCTAAACCATCTCCATTGCAATTGCCATCATCAGCTACAACTATTTCAGAACCCTCAGTCTCTTTTGACCTGGAATAAATAGCATTGGCTTCAGAGACAGTGGCCTTGGCACTATCATTAGCTAACACATTTCCATTGCAATCACCATCATCAGCTACAGCCATTTCAGATCCTCCATTCTCTTTTAACCTGGAATCGAGAACATTGGCTTCAGAGACAGTATCATTAGCTAAAGCATTTCCATTGCAATCACCATCATCGGCTACAGCCATTTCAGAGCCTCCATTCTCTTTTGACCTGGAATCAATAACATTGGCTTCAGAGACAGTGGCCTTAGCACTATCATTAGATAAACCTTCTCCACTGCAATCGCCATCATCAGCTACAGCCATTTCAGAACCATCATTCTCCTTTGACCTGAAATCGAGAACATTGGCTTCAGACACAGTGTCATTGGCACCATCATTAGCTAAACCATCTCTGTTGCGATCACCATCGGCAATTACAGCCATTTCAGAACCCTTGTTCTCTTTTGATCTGAAATCGAGATCATTGGCTTCAGAGACACTGGCCTTAGCACTATCATCAGCTAAACCATCTCCATTGCAATCACTAGCATCAACTTCAGCCATTTCAGAGCTGTCGTTCTCTTTTGAACTGAAATCAACATCATTGACTGCAGCGGCCTTAGCATTATCATTAGCTAGACCATCTCCATTGTAATCACTATCATCAGCTACAGCAATTTCAAATTCCTCATTCCCTCTAGACCTGAAATCGAGAACATTGGCTTCAACACTACCATTAGCCGAACCATTGACGTCAGGACCGGAGATGGAAAAAATCTCATCACTCTGTTTATCACTGGAGTCAACAGCAGCAGCTCCTGAACCAGTGTGTTCACCTATATTCTTAGCATCAGAAACATCTTCAGCCGATTCAGAGACTCTATTCTGATCAGCCGTGGCAGTTTCTGACACGCCATTTTCAGCATTAATAGCAAAAACAGGACCACTCCGAATAAGATCCACTGATTTTTGTTCATCAACAGAAGCCTCCGCGTGGCACAATTCCATCGATTCCTTGTCCTGATCCACAATTTCAATACAAGATTCATCCTCTTCACTCAAATCCTTAACCAAATCAGTTTTAGATTTCACTTCCCCTTCAGTCTCCATACTCTCAACCCCCTGATCTCTTCCAGCAATGCCATTTCCGTTTTTCTCAAGATCCGACTCCACTGGACCTCCATTTTCTTCTTCGTTTCCGTTAACGAAAACATAATCACCGTCACCATCGTTGTCTTCCCTGGCAGTCCTCCCATTGACGCCATTGGAAAAATCTTCATTTCCATTCTTCTTCACCAGATCCTCCTCCTCCGCAATCTCAACCTTGGACGAAGACGATTGCACCTCCTCCTCCACCACCACATGCACGGTCGTCACTTCATCCACAGTCATATTCGCTTTCAATTAACTAAAAGGAAAATACAAATACAAATTTAGATATAAAATTACAATTAAATTATTCATAATAAAAGATAGTTGTTTCTTTCAAAATTTTAGATCTTAACAAACTGAAAAAAAAGGTCAAAACTTACTCGAAAACGAAACCTGGTCGAAAGCAGTAGCCGGAGCTAGTTCACCGACGCCAATGCCGGAAATAAATTGATCAATTGAATCCTGAGAGAGGAAGGGAAAATTGAATGAAAAAACAGCTGAGAAAAGTCACGAAGAAACCGAAAATATGCATATATATAAATTATATAAGACAAACGATAAGAGAGAAAAAGAGAGAAGAGTCTTCTACTGTGACTGTATACAACACTTATCTCAGTAAAATTCCATCTTTCTTTTTTTTTAATTTACGCATCACTTTATTTAATTATTCTGCTATCATCTTTCATCTTTACTACTTTTCATTTTTACACTTGAAAAGTAGTAAAAATACTGTATAAGTTCCTGTATTATATCGTAGAGTACATTTTGATTCCATAATTTTATAATGAACAGTCTTTCGCGTTAGAAAAACTTACAAAATTATATATATATTTTTTAATGATTAAAGGTACTAAATTTATAAAATAAACTTAACTGAATTATAACATCATATTTTTAAGTGACATGATATATTCATTATACCCCGTATAACTTAATTCAGATAATTACATTTAACGTTGCATCACTTATAAAACGTCACATTATATTTAAAATTGGTTGCATCATCTAATTAAATTTATTGTTTTTTAATTGTTTCACAAAATAAATATTCTACATAATCATGGATTAGAATTATAATATTAATAAAGCATATTGAATTAGAATAGTGATATCTATAATTTGATCCTTTTAAAATCTGATCTAGAATAATCAATTAATAGATCTAAACCCAATTATTAAATCAGAAAAAAAAAATTATAGGTTATTTTCACATATATCCAAATAAACTTTGTACCATAATATAAGGACCTGTATAATATTTTCACCCTTGTAAAACAAATTATCCTTTTTCGATCTAGGAAGATAATATTGGATAAAATTTAATCTTGTGGATGTTAAAGTAATTATGGCGTCATCAATGACATCATCCATTAAATATTACTATTGTAAAGCATATCCAAATGGATAGGTCTTTTTATTTTTTTCCCTTCTTAAAAGCCTATCTACTTTAAGCTATGATTTTTATACAAATATCTTCATTCTTCCCTTTTGTTCTTACCAAAAATAAAAATAGTAATTTTATGATAATGTAAATTTATTATTGTATTAAAAATACGGTAAAGTATACAAGTGGTTCCTCAACTATTAGAGTAATATAAACGGAGATCAATCCATAACATACAACTCAAATGATTCTAAATTACATTAAAATTCTAAATTTTATATAATGTTAATTATTGAATTTTTAAATCTAAATATATATTGTCACGATCCAATTTACTGCAAGGAGACATAAATCAAAATTGAAATTAGAAAGGGAAGTTTGAAGAAATAGAATAGATTTGTATTATTAATATCTAAATTTATTTAAAACATATATTATAAAAAATATTAAAAATATTTTTTGATGTTATTTTAAAATAATAACCATATTTAATAATAACTAGTTGGTCTAGTCATTAGTAGAATGAGACACTAAATCCTTTAGGTAAATGTCAGGGGTTTGAATCTTGACGTTTACGAATAGAGCAAACTAAGTTGGGAGGGTTACTCTCGCCTCTGCAGTATTCGATTCGGATTAGTCGTTTAATAAATCTAATAGTTATACCAAAAGTAATATTAATATTATTTTTTTTCTAGATTATTATTTTGTAATTTAAATTTTTTAAAATTCGTATAGAATATTAAACTCATGAAAGACGAGGCCGTGCAGGAGAAACTCGTGAGAGCCAAAAGTGTATTGTTTTAAGATGGATCCATCTATAGTTATGATGCCCCCACATTCTATGCAACAATTCAAGGATATCTCTTTCTTTCTTTTCTTATTAAAAGGGAATCCTAAGTTCCCCTTAAAAATTAATTTTATGATGAATTTTTTATTAGATATTTTAGGGTATATTATAAAAATTTTCATTTATTTTTCTTCTCACTTATATTTTAGTCATTAAAATTTAAAATTTTCAATTTAATCATTCAACTTTTGAATTGTTTTTTTATTAACTAGTCCACCGTTAAATCACAAATCTCAAATTCTCTTTATCGTTATTAACCTCACCCTCCATAAACCACAAAGCATAACCTCCACCATTTGTGATTTAACAGTGAAGTGACAAAAATAAGAGCAATTCAAAATTTGAGTGATTAATTGAAATTTTTTAAACTTAAGTGACAAAATTAGGAGTGAGAAGAAAAATAAGTGATTATACTTGTAATTTTTAAACAATTAAAAAATAACAACATATTTGAAATTAAAAAAGCAGCATCGAATATTCATATGAAATTTAATTTTTTCTTATATAATAAATTCACGAATATTGAATTAGAATGTAATCAAATAAGTATTTAAAAGAAACATTGCCTGAATCGAACTTTTATTTAAAAAATTCATGACAATCTCTTGAAATTTGATTATAAAACTTTTAAATAATGGTTTGATTAAGATATATTTCTAAATTTAAAAACATAATTGATCATAGCTTTTTAAATAATAATTTAATTAAAATAACATTTCACTAAAAAGAGCTTACTTATTATCATCCGGTTTAAAAGAGTCAAATTATTTAATATTTTTCTCAATTTGAATATGCTTAATTGATAAAAAAAGAGTCAAATTTTCAGATACATTAATCAAACTTAAAATAAAAACATAAAGTTTTCAGATATTATAAAATTTCAATTGGATCTATCACCAATAACATTCACTTATAATATATAGTTTAATCAATTAAGTCAAATATTTGACTTACTTGTTTTCCTATTTTAGATTTAAATTTAAAAAAATATTATATAAAAAATTTAACTTAAATTAAATCGATATTTACATGTTCAAGTAGATTTTATGTAGTTAATCACAATATAAATGTAATGTTTTGAGATAATATCAGATCTACCTTAGATCTAGATCAATAATATGTTAAAAAAAGTCCTTAAAATAAATAAATTAAATTAAATGTGAAATACTTTATGTGTTATATTATTTTAAATTTATAGGGTTTGTCGGTGGTAGCCATAGGATAAATAGTAAATCTTCTGCACATTTTTTTTGTCGTTTTATTTTAGTGATTTAAGATATTTACTTTAACTAATTAGCATTTAATATTGAGTTTATAACTAATCACATCTAAGGTTAAAGTCAAATCCATTCTAAAAAATGTACAAATAATAATTAATTAATTGTAATATTTTCAAACTTTTTATTTTTTTATTGGATATTGCGAAGATTATGTGTGTTATGATTTCACATCAAACAATTTATTTAAAAATTTACAGTCAAATAAATTTATAAAAACTAATTATAGAATTTTTTAAATAAATGTTCAGTTGAGATATCTTTTGAATTTTCAAATAATTGGTCCAATATAACTGATGATGGCGGCCAATAGTGATTGACGATGGTGATGAGCTGCAGTAGGGGCTTTAACTGGATTTAGTGATGAATTTGATATTTTATTTAAAGTTTGAGAGTCGAATTAATATTTTACCAAAAGTTTAGAATCAAATTAACATTATGTCTAAAGTTCAAGGGTCTAACTAAAATTAAAATATTTTACTAATGGACTAGTGTTGATTAAGACATTTTTGTGATTCAAAATGGACCATAGGATATAATATAATATATATTATTTTGTGCCATTTGATTTCAATTGATTAACATTGGGTCACTATCCCACTTTTTTTTTGCTAATAAAATCAAAATTAAACAGCTTCCATCTTGCTTTACCCATAAGATATCTTTGGTTTCATCAATGATTTTAAAGGTTTTTGTATTGTTATTTTGCTAAAAATGCCATTAACATTTTCCACCTAATGGAGCGAAAAATCATTTCACCTTTGCAAAATAATAAATTTATAAAATAACGTATTAGACAATCCATACATATAAATATAATCATTCACGAGAAACTAAATAAATACATATATTAAATTCATTAAGTGACTTAAAGTTGTTATCCTTAGATATCATAAGTTAGAGCAGCTGTGTGTGCGAATTGTCAATTGTTTAATTTTTTTAAATAAATATTACTTTGCAATCATACCAGACTATTCAAAAAAATCAATAAATATATTTTAAAATTTAATATTTCAATGGAAGTGTCAAAATTATCATTTAAGTACATTTGAATTGTTTAGGGTGAGGATTGTTTCGGATTAGTGTGAACCATTTCGTTTTTGGATTGTAAGGTGCACTCTTTTTCTCAAAGTAGGCATAGGGAGGATTTTAATGAGTCCATTTTCGACACTTTATTTTGTAGGTTTTAGCAATGACTGCATGCAAAACCTTTTCAAAAAAAAGTGCATTTGGAAGAATATTTTTTAACGAACAGTTCCGATCTATTGATTAATTAATTTGAATTATGTACTATATAGGACTTAGAAGTCCATTAAGAGTTACTTGAGTGACTCTCAACTCAATTTATCTCATTCACAATTCAATATTCAAATAGACACCCTTATTGAAGAGATCTAACGTCTCATGCTCCTGACCCACAATTGTCGAAAAATTTAGGAGATTTTAAAACAATAACAATTATAATTATTTAGTTTAGATAAATAACTACTTTAGAAAATTTTACACTATTGAGTTAAAAAATATAGAATAAAAATAATGATATTAATAGTATGTATAATATATATATATATAAATAATATAGAAAAAATTTAATAAAAATTATACATTAGAGTTAAATAGAATAATGTTTTAAAAGTTTATTTTTTTTATTTTGTAATGAGATCAGATGTACTAAATTAAATAAAATTATTTTAAAAAAAATAACATATTTAAGTTGAATTTGAAAAAAAAAATTGACCACCAAAATTTTATTTTTGAAACTTCTTATAAATTTTAAAATTTATCATCCAAACATGTCTACTAATAGATCATATTATTCAGGAATCAACAAGACTATACATCTTAATATTATAAATTGAAATTTTTTTTATCTCATAATAGATTTCTATAATAATATTTGAATCACATTAGTCGATTAATACATAAAATTATATCACATCACATCATATTGTCACAATATAATAAACATAGTAGGAACAAAATATTAAATGTCTTGCCATAATTTTCTAATATTGAATGAACTTTATTGCCAAAAAAATCTTACATATTCAACACTAGTGTCCTGAAATTTAATTTTGGGATTTTTAATTACATTACATGTCGTGTCAATTGTTGCGTCTGTGATATGAATTATAGATCTGTACTGTAATGGGCAAGCATGAACAAGAGCCAGCTGTTCTAAGAAAATCAGCCAATACATCTTAATCTAATTCTCCATTTTCTTTATATTACCCAAAAAAAAACTTTCCTGTATTTTTTTTTCACGTTCAAAAATTAAATGAAAAATCACGATTAATGAACCATTTTTGTCCAAGTGTCATTTTTATTTTGTGTTCTTTAGTATATTTACTTATTTTCTGGAATTATTCCAATCATATATCACGCAAGTCTTGTCATATTTGTTTGATTTGAATATATTTTTATGAAAGATTATTTGATATATATAGTATACTAATTTTAGTTTACACGTCACACATTTTAGAATTTATCAAGCGACTCCAATAATTAAAGAAAATATTATTTTTTATAGAGATTTTAGGTTTAAATAATAATGTTTGTAGTAAAAAAATATGTATCAAAGTTTTTATTTTTTATTTTGATTAAAAAATATTTTTCATAATATTAATATTATTTTACATTTAATTAAAATTAAAATTTTAATTAATATTTAAATTGTGTAAGCGATTTGAGAATCTAAGAGTAAAAAATAATAATAAAATGTGTGGGAAAATGATAAAAATATATTGAATTTACTCAAATTCACTTGCTGGCACATGTTCCTTGCACTGAATCAAATGCTCTGTTTGACAAATAAAAGCAAAATGTTTGGCATTGAAGCAATGTGTGATGTTTGGTAAAAAAAAGTATATAAAGCTTCTTATTTGATAATGAAATTATTAAAACAGATCATGGAATTTTCATTGCATGCTTAAAAATAATAATATTAAGTATCTACATATTGTTGCCATCTGCACATGTAACTCTCCATTCCCATCTATAGACCATCTCCAATGCTTCTCTACATTCGAAAATTTCTCCAAAGTAGAGAGTTTTCTCTCCAACCCTGCGCCACATTTCTCTCTACTGTACCGAATTGCTACAGTATCGCATCACATCTAGCGCGGTACTGTAGCTTGTGCTACATTTTTTTTTAATTAAAATATATTAAATTATAAGATAGATAAAAATATATTAAAATTAGATAAATAATAATACTAAATTTTTTGTAATTTTTCAGATTTTTTTATATTTGTAAAATTAATATTATAATAGTTAAATATTATGAATAAAGTAAAGTTGATGGTAATGTAGAGATAGCTCTGGAGATGAATTACTGTTTTATCTCTAGAGTATAGATAAAGATGTTCTAGAGTAGAGATAAGAGCTGGAGGTGATCTTATTTCTCTTAATTATATATATATATATATATATATATATATATATATATATATATTTTCTACATTTAAATATTAAAATTTCACATATTTAAGTTTAATGAAAGTCTAACAAACAGTATAATTGGATTTTAACTTTTAAATCAAATAAATAGAAAAACTAAATCCTTAGAATTGATTAAATTCTAAAAATCCGAATTGTATATAATATAAGCATAAAAGAAACGTCAAATTTCTTAAGATTAAGTAATTATTAGAATGAAGCCTGCATATGTCCTGGCATGACAGTGACAACTTTCTGGACGTTATATTTTAATGATATTGTCATTAATTAATCTTGTAAGAAAAGTCATGGTTAAAATTTGAACACATTACGTTCTAATACAAAGTTCCATTGGTTGTTGCCTCTTGAAAATGATATAAACAGTCACATTTTTTGGGAAACAAAACAATGACATGCTTTTGAACATTTTTAATAATTAAAATTTTTTTTATTTCCCTTCCAAAAGTGAATATATATAAGACTAGAAGTGAAACTGGAAATTTAATGTCCAAAGGTAAGTGTAGGCCTAGTTGATTAAGTGTTATGCGCCATCTGATCAATAGTTTATGTAAAATGAAATTTAATGATTAATAAATGGTATTATTTTATACATAAATTGTATCCATAATCATTTAATTATGTAAGATTCTAATTAATTAACTTTTTTATTCTATTAATAAGATTATTTATCTATTTGAATTAGTGATGATAATATTATCCAAAATTGATGAACTGATCCGATAGGGTCATTTTTTTTTAAAAAAAATGAAGTTTTAAAGTTTGAGTTTTAAATAAGATTGTGTCAAATCAGATTCAAGTGTAGGATGATGGCCCAACCCAAGGGCAATCGAGTAATTTTTCAGGTTGGATCGAATTCGGGTAGATAATATATATTATATGGGTAGAGTAAGATTCGAGTAGAAGATATATATTTTTCAAATCGAATCAAATTAACTAAAAACCCGACCCAACCCCACTAGTTGCTACATCTAATTTGAATGATGTTAAATTGTTAATCATATCACCTATAGTTTTTTTATCAAATAAAGAAAGACTACATTTTTAAGATAAATGTAGAGATTCGAATCCACACAAGATGTGACAATATGAATATCCTTGAATAACAGAAATGAAAAATCGATAGTCAAATTAAAATACACCATAGTTAAATGATAACTGGTGTATAATTTACCCTTCACGAGATGTGACCAAAATAATACTACCAATGATAGATTTTATCTACGAAATTTATGCAAAAAGGGTTTGCGACTACACATAAGATGGATAAAATCCGAACATCATTTGTGATCCATAGTAACTCGAAATCGAATATCAATTTTAAACAGACGACAATGGCGGTTTATCTCAGAGTACCTTGGCGCCGACAATATCTTTTAAAATGCATTGATTATCGTCACAATGGTGGTTGCCATGTTCCTGGCTTATAGGATGAAATAGTAAGCAGAGCAGGTCTATGAATAAAGTTATATTCTCCGGAAAGGGTCTGAAACTTACTCTGGAAATGGCTTTTCTTTCCCTTCAGGTGTCTCTTTAGTCCTGCAAATACGAGGCGTGGTATTAAAACATTCACAGCACCAAGCAATTTTCATGATTCGACAAGAGGAAAATCAAATAAGATCCGATGGCAACTCATTTTACCAGATACAAAAAGTAGAAACAAAAACAACAGTCACTGGTGCAATGCAGTGATAGTAAAAACGAAAGGGGAATCCGACAAGGAAAAAGATAACGCCGCAATGATAAACAATTCAACAAGTTGTATTTCAACAGCAATGTTAAGTTCATGTTATAAAACAATTTGTTTTACCCACCTCTCATTTGATGATTGTTCAAATTTGTCACCTGCGAGTAAAAACATCAGAATGAAAACACGGACAGTAGAAAAGCTTCGATAAATTATATTAAGTTTTAGAAGAGATGCACAGTTAGGTAAAAAAAAACAATGCCTTCCGAAGTGGATGGAAATTGCCGAATGAAGCTTTTTAAGTCTGGACCTCCAACTTTACCTATAAATGACAGTATAGTTATCAACAACTGGATGAAGAAATAAAGCAACGGGAGACGAGGAGACACAAGAGTTGCAGCTAAAGACTAAACCGAACTCACAGCCTTCTTGCTCTCTTCTCGAGGTTTTCTTTCTACTTCTTTCTTCAGAACTTTCTCCAGGGAAAAAAAAATGTGAGAATTTTTTATCAGAGAATATGGTACCGGGACATGTATATTGATATTAGTAGTAATACATATGGGTAACATTAAGCAACGGGATGAGGAAATAAAGCAACGGAGGCGAGGAGACACAAGAGTTGCAGCTAAAGACTAACCCGAACTCACAGGCTTCTTGCTCTCTTCTCGAGGTTTTCTTTCTACTTCTTTCTTCAAAACTTTCCCCCGGGAAAAGAAAAAGGTGAGACAAATTTTTATCAGAATATGGTACCGGGACATGTATATTGATATTAGTAGTAATACATATGGGCAACATTAAGTCTAGCACATTCACACCGTGCTTCAAGTTCCATCATTTCCTGAAGACAGAAACAATAAACTATCAAATAAGAGTTGAAATTACCCCACAAGGATACACTACCCGAAACACTTACAACAAAAGAAAAAGACTTTGATTCCAAAATGTTTCTATCAAATATGAAATATGTTGTCTATTTACGAGATATTTATGCACAGTTCACTTGATCTTTTGACGAGGGAAACTTCAGCAGCGACGAAACGTGGAGGGTGGATGGCATTCTCATAGCACGCGACAAAATTTCGTTCCTAAGCACCTCAGAGTCGGAGCTATCTTTCGCTTCCCATTCAACCAACATATCCATTCAACTACAACAATCAAATTGCAATAAACCATAAGTATCGAAAACAAACAAAGAAACCAACATGTTATCAGACAGTTAGTTCGAGAGCATCATTGTCTATCCTAAGCTATGATTAAAGGATACAGCTAAGAAGCGAGCAACTTTTATTGAAAAGCTTACCTGGGATGGAAGTTGGATCTTGCTCTGCTTTGAGTTCCATTCTACCCATTTTTCTCCTTTACTAATAATTCAACAGAAACTACGATGTCAAAGGAACATAATAGTATCGGAATGTGAATTCTGTATTAATTCCAAATTTGGTGTTCTTGCCCTGCTTAATTTTTTTTTTTCATTTTACTTTCTCTCTATTCTAACTATGTTATAATTTAGCTTAAATTCAGACCTAAAATCACTAGACACGGTATTTCCTCAAGCACAAAATCAAATTAGGATCAAATTAACTTCCGACTACATCGATAAATCAAAGTTTTTCCCTACATTATTTCATAAACAAAGAGCTAATTTCCATACAAATCAACAGCTAATACAAAGTGTTGACCAAGGAGAATTCAAAAATCAATTTACTAGCTATTAGCAACCATTGAAAACTACAAAATCCAATCCAAAATTCACATGTTCATACAATTCTTCAAAATCCCAGATAGAAAATCCATTAACACAAAGGCAAAGATCGAATTCAAAGAACCTCAAACGAAAAACCCATATAGAAAATTGAACAGGAAGGATCATTAGCAAATACCCACATCAACAAAAAAAAAATGAAATTTTCGAAATTGGAAAAAGAAAAGGGAAATGAGACCCACTTACAAATATCATCAATCTCTTCTTTTCGAGTTAAGTAAAGGTTCCCAGCTTTATCTACACCAACAAATGTTATGTTGCTGAAAAACCCAGAAATTCTAGAGCACAGTTTTGACATCTCCGCCTCTAAAGCTGCGGTCTTTGGTTATTTGGTAACTTCGATTAAGGACTTGCTGCGGCATTGGAGGTTAAAGCTCTGTGACAGAGTAGCTCGAAACGACATGACTCTTTGCGTTTTAATGTGCTTAATTCATGCGAAAGTGACGCGTGTGTTGTCCTTTGGGCATTGTTTGTTACATAAAAATTGATTTTACATTTTTTTGTAATGATAAATATGGAATTTCATAAAACCAACAAGTCACGGCTACATTTTTTTATAGTCAAAAATTGGGGATTAATCTAAAAGGTTAAATTATGTTTTTATCTCTTTTGTATGATCAACTTCGAGATTTGATCCCTATATTCTAATTGAATAGAATTTAATCCCTCAACTTCATAATATTTCTAATTAATCTAAATAGTTAATAGTGTTGAAAACTTTTGAGTAAAATACTGTCATTTATTTATTTTTATATAACTTATTCCAACTGATTTTTGGTAAAAGGAAATCATGAAAAGAGAGCATGTTTTAGAAAGTAGCATCCGACTTAAAGAAAATAATTTAAGAACGACATCATCTTGATTATTGGAATTGCCCGCCTAGCTCAGTTGGTAAAGCTTAAGGCTTTGAATCTTGTGGTCGTGGGATCGAGTCCCACGGTGAGCAATTCATAATTGGAGGTCTTCCACGGAAGCTGTTTTCATCCTGACTTTGGGGGCAGCCTACTATCTTACATCTCCCTTATCCCATTATATATGAGAATAGGGTTAGCTAAAATCATCTTGATTATTGTCGTCATTGAATTATAATTCAGTCTAATAAGAAAGTTTTCGTTAAAATAGATTAAAATTAATTCAAATGGAGTTGTAAAAGAGTAGTGATAATGCATCCACAATAAGTGAGATGATATTATTCAATCAATTAGATTGATATTTAATTTTTCAAAAGGAACTATTAAGTATTGGTGGTCGAGTTATGACAATTGACGACGTTATGTTCATGCTCGGAGACTATGTTGTACGAGAATGATTATTGAGACAAATAATGTGGAAGATATTATCATCAATGAATAGATAAATTTTATGCATGATAACAATATTGTGTGCACGATTAAACCGTTGTTGCATTGTGACTAGAAGATCTCAATTATCCAATTAGAGAGTTGTTCTTTGATTAACAACCACAGTTTATTATTGTGTTAGTGAAACTCGAAATTTAACTAGAATGATTATTGTGTATATTTTATGTTCGAATTATTTTCTAATTTCACTTCAACATTTTAACTAGAATGATTATTGACATAATTATTTGAACTAATTATTGATTATGTCGATCAAAGAATAAGGATTAAATTTTAAATTTGAGCATATTAGAGGAACCAAAACCAAAGTTTGACCTGTTCTAGTGGCCCAAATGTTACCGTTTACCTATACATTGTCGTTTCTACAACATTTCTCAACACAAGGGAAACTCACTTTTGTAATCTTAAACCCAAAACCCAGCAAAAACCTTCTCTGTAAACAATGTATTCGTCAAATCTACCGACTTGGGTCTCATCAAAACCTTCAAATTCCACCAAAAATCAGTTCTTTTATCAATTTAACCAAAACCCATTTCTCCAATTTTCCAATAGATTAACCCCAAAAAGCATCTCTCGATCTCCTTCACCCTTCACTCAGATCCATTGCCGCCTTCGTGAGCTCCGAAAACGAATCGAAACGGTGAAAAGCACTCAAAAATTCACTGAAGCAATGAAGCTAGTGGCGGCTGCAAGGATCAGGAGAGCTCAAGAAGCTGTCATCAATGGCAGGCCTTTCACCGAAGCTTTAGTGGAGTTCCTTTACACCATTAATGATAGTTTACAATGTGAAGATGTTGATTGTCCTTTAACTGTTATTAGGCCTGTAAAGAAAGTAGCTTTAGTTGTTATAACTGGCGATAGAGGTCTTTGTGGTAGTTTCAACAATGCAGTGATTAAAAAGGCGGAGTCCCGGTTTCTGAATTGAAAGGTCTTGGATTGGATTATACTATTAGTGTAGGAAAAAAGGGCAATTCTTATTTTAGGCGGAAAGACGACGTTTTGGTTGATAGATTTGTTGAAGGAGGAGGGTTTCCTACTGCAAAAGAAGCTCAGATGATTGCTGATGATGTTTTCTCGTTGTTTATAAGTGAAGAGGTCGATAAGGTTGAGCTTGTGTATACGAAGTTTGTATCTTTGGTGAAGTCGAATCCGGTGATTCGTACTTTGCTTCCGTTGTCGTCCGTGAAAGGTGAGGTTGTCGATGTGAATGGGAATTGTGTTGATGGCATGGAAGATGAGTTGTTTATGCTGACAACCAAGGGAGGGAAGCTGGTTGTGGAGAGGGATAAAGTGAGGGTGGAAGGAGGGGGAATTTCTCCTCTTATGCAGTTTGAGCAAGATCCGGTTCAAATTCTCGATGCCATGATGCCTCTTTATTTGAATAGTCAGATCTTGAGGGCATTGCAGGAATCATTGGCGAGTGAGCTAGCAGCTAGGATGAATGCAATGAGTAATGCTACTGTTAATGCGATTGAGTTGAAGAAGAATCTTTCCATTGTCTATAATCGGGAACGGCAGGCAAAAATTACAAGTGAGATTCTGGAGATTGTTGCTGGAGCTGAGGCACTTACCTAAATTCATAGTTTGATCGTTTTCGCTTCTCCTTTCTTGTATGTTCCTTTTCTCCGATATCCTTTTTATACAAATGTTTCGATTGGCTAAGATACACTAGTTATGATTATGAAGTGCAAAGAAACTATATTATTAGATCACTGAAACTATTTACTCTAATGAATGCACAACTTCATCCATTCTATATAACAAGCAGCAGATTTTCTGCTCTTATTTAAGAACCTTGAGAAGTTTCTTCTCTGCTAGTGATTGTATGCAGAAATCTCCCCTATAACCTGTAAAGAGGTCATTCGATGTCGATTTCGAAGTGGAGAGGTTACTGATTTGAAGCCAAATTGTCTAACTTCTTGTTAAGGTTTCTAATTACAAATGGAAGTATGCCATCATGATTGAAGTAAGCCAATTCCACCTCCACATGAATTCTCATGCAATTTAGCCATATTTATATTCAAAACCAGTGGTTTAATCCTGAATGGTTGGGAAACACCCTTCCCTTTTCTTCATCATATATATAACTGTTGATTCTAGGCATACCTTTGTATTGATCGTGTGTAGGATTTTCTGATGTCAGCTGTGATGGTAACATCTTGGCAAGGCCTTATCTAGCGGACTTTACTTGGAAGGTGAATCGTATAGCACTCGAGACCTGTTAATCCTAGTGTATCTGCATCCTCTCCAGGCTTGGAATGAAATGGGATGATCCACATACCGACAGATTACTACGATGGATTTTCTCCCTAAACAAAGGGGTAGAAAGGGTGAATTCGGGTTGATGGATGAGAAGAGTTAGAAGCAAAGAAACATGATATTTGAATGTGTTTGTACCAGTAACATTCGTTACGGCCCAATCTTGTGAGCTTCCGCTTCCGAAATCTGATCCTGCTAAGATAATAGCGTCTTGCTCGGAAGTCTTGTCCCTCTGCAAGTAGATGATATTCCTTTAGTTAGTAAATACGGTCTAAACTTAACTCATGCATTGCTGAACGCCATTGCAGCATCATATACAGAGTTTATCTCCTGTTGGGATATGAATCGTCTTAGGGCCAACTTTCCCCTTCAAGAGCTTGTTAACGAAGCAGATATCGGCAAATGCACACCTTGCCATCACCTCATTGTCGCCTCAGTGACTACCATATAGCCCCTCATGTTCAGCTCGTGCTCAAGAAGAAACTTTGTCGAGGACCTATACTTGTGGATGCTACGACCTGGGGAAATCTGATCGGTTTACGTCGGCAATCTCTTCGTTGCTACGCCATATGGCTCTTTCTCAAAATCAAAAATCAAACTGGAAATATATTACAGCAAATGGTTAATGATCCAACACCAGATTTTACAGTTTCCAAGCATGTTGGTAAACATTACAAGTAACGGTTCAACATACCGCGCCGGCAAGAACATAGGCAACAACTGAAAGGTGAAGCAAGATAGTTAGCTCTCGTCAATTGATAAACTCGGCCTTTGAAATTTCGGTTCCCAGAAAGAACAGCCTCAGCACCGATATCTTCAACAGTAATGAAGATATTATCAATGGTATTTACAGGGACCAAGTTATAAAATGTTAAATTAAAAGATAATAATTGGATTTTAAATAAAATTTGAACTTTAATTGTAATCCCATAAAAAGTTTTAATTTTTATCTCAATTGTTCCCACAATAAATTCTTGGTCTGGTCCCTGTTTTAAGGAAAGACGGATTTTACGTGGATATAGGTACCATTTTCGGCAATATTTTACGTGGATTCTAGTGTAGTACTTAAGAATAATAAATGGAAGCGTCTTCTTCTGCTAAAAGCTTTCATATTTCAGTCATGGTTCTACTAAATGGAAGCTCATGTCTGCATCTTTAATGGCAATTTAAATAAAAATAAAAATTATTGTGTAAAATATACTCGATTGTAAAATTATTTAAATATGATCGAATTCAATTATAAACCTTACATCTAATCATTTAGATATTTAAATAAAAAATAATCTTATTTATTTAAATAAATAAAGGCTTAATTATAAAATAAGTGATCAAACTATAATGTTTTTCACGAATAGGTGCTTACAGTTTTTTTTAATGATCTTGGTGCATAACATTACAGACGTTATCATTTTACTAAATGGAAGCTCATGTCTGCATCTTTAATGGCAATTTAAATAAAAATAAAAATTATTGTGTAAAATATACTCGATTGTAAAATTATTTAAATATGATCGAATTCAATTATAAACCTTACATCTAATCATTTAGATATTTAAATAAAAAATAATCTTATTTATTTAAATAAATTAAGGCTTAATTATAAAATAAGTGATCAAACTATAATGTTTTTCACGAATAGGTGCTTACAGTTTTTTTTAATGATCTTGGTGCATAACATTACAGACGTTATCATTTTAGGTGTCCGGGTCGTAAACGCCGTTAATTTCTCCGTTAAGTGACACATGTAACATTATGGTAATTTTAAAATTTTTATTTAAAATTAAAAAATTAAAAATATATATTTAAAAAAATACACAAAAATGTTGAAATGACCCCAAAACTTTGAAAAGCTTCATTTCAATCTCTAAACTCACGCCGACCGCCGCCCTTTGCCATTGACAAAGCTCCACCCGACCTTACCTACCTCCGACGATCAATAGCCCTATGAAATCATGACCGATATATGACTAGGAGGATAGCATGGATTAAGTCGACGTTGGTGGCCATGGATGGAAAGGATGATGACGGCGGGTTAGGGATAGGATTTGGGATTTTATGAAATTGAGCTTTTTTTAATTTAAGAGAAATCAGGGTTTTTATATAAATATAATAATATTTTTAATTTTAAAAAAATAAAAAATAATAGAGTTTGACAATTGTTATCTAATGAAGAAAATTAACGGAAGTTACGGCTCGGGCACCTAAAGTGGTAACGTTTATAACGTTAGGCACCGGAATCATACAAAAAATATTGTAGGTACATATTAGTGAAAAACAATATATTTTGGATACTTATTTTATAATTAAGCCACAAATAAATATACTCAAATTCAATTATAAAGCTTATTTTGTAAAATTATTTATATGTTACTTTAAATTTTAAGATAATTAATATTTAATAGAATAGAGACTAATTAAAAAACAAAGAAGAATATTATAATAATTATTTTTAAACAAATAGAAGAAAAATATATTTTAATCTCAGACTAGGTCAACTCAAATTTTTATCCTAAAACCGAGCCTAATCCAATTTCATCATTTACAAAATTCGACCCGACCCAATTTTTTTTAAAAAATATTCAACCATATAAAACTAAATCAAATTAAAACCTATCATATTGGAACCGAATTGCCATCCCTAGCCACCTGTGCCATAGTAGAGAGGTAACAGTGAAATGAATGTAGCGCCAAAGCATGAATCTTGAACCCTATCAGCAGCACCAAAGTTTTGACATAAAGATGTTCAAAGCCATCAAACAAAAATTATTTTCATTGGTATTTCCGACGTTTTGTCTCAACTTCACTCACTCCTTTGAAGTTTAGCCGTATTCGATGAACGGCGGTTACCAATTTGATGCATGTGGGTCATGTTTTGCTGGGTATCAATCAATAAAGGTTTAATATAAAAATTGGTCCCTAATAATTTCATCTTTTTATTTATATATTTCAATTACTATTTTCGGAAGTGATATCCACTATTATTTTGATTTTTAGGTTAATAAAAACATGATACATGACATGGTTTTATTAAATATTGTTTGCTTTTAGCTAAAATTAGTGTAGAATGACAGTTTGTGTACTTCTTCTTGTTGAAATAATCAATTAAGGTTTTAATTTTTTACATTCAATTAAGTATTTGTACTTTAAATTTTCAACAATTCAATTAAGATTTTAATAATTTATTGGATTAGTGTTACATGTCAGATCACGATATTGTCAAATAACATTACTTAAAAATATTACTTTTGAAATAAAATTTTAGAGTTTAATTTATAATTTCAACAATATAATTTTATTGTTTTCAAAAATATATATATAAGTTTTAATCATTTCGTAAACTCGTGCGATTAAACATTTCAATTATCATCGATTCATGAAAGAATTTCCATGAATCAATCAAATAAAGAATTTCGATATTTTTGCTAAATTTCTCGTCGTTTTCTAAAGAGCTAATTGTATCGGTCTTTAAAATATTATCATCATTTTAAATTTGTCTTTAAACTTTTAAATATTATAATTTCATTCATAAACGATGACTATCATTTTAAATTAGTCCTCAAACTTTGAGCATTTCAATTTCATCCCCAAACTATGAACATCATTCTAAATTGGTCCCCAAATTTTTTTAACATTCCAATTTCATCCCAAACTATATGTATATACTAATCACATCCCGTGTTAATAAAATCGTTAGGTCAAGTTCTACTATTATATGTGTGGAAAAAAATAAAATTTAGGTTAAACTATGGTTAAAAATAATTACATATTTGGATGAATTTGGGGATGAAATTGGAATATTCAAAAGTGGAGGGACCAATTCAGAATAAGAGATATAGTTTGGGGATGAGATTAAAATGTTCAAAAGTTTAAGGACTAATTTAGAATGAGAGTCATAGTTTGGGGATAAAATTAAAATATTCAAAAGTTTAAAGACCAATTTAAAATGAGAATATAGTTTGTGGACATATGATGCAATTAATTCTTTTCTAAATTTTAATTTTTTAATATGAAAATAATGGGATTTATGAAAGTTTAAAATTTGTTTTGATAAAATAATTTATAATGAAAAATTTATTTATTAAACAATTTTGAATGTAATGGTAAATAATTTATATTTAAGTCTAATAGTTTTTTTTTTAATTTTAAGTAGGGGTTTTTAATTTAATTTATTTAAAATTATATAATATGATAAAAGATAAAAATTCTATTAGATAATATGCATTATACCATTGAATAAACATATTTAATAGTTTTAAGTAGTGGTTCTCTAAGGATCTTTGATAGTTGCCCCGTGAATTCTATTAGACCTCATTATATTCGTTTTTTGCTTTTGTAATCTTATCGAATTCTTTTTTTTAGGTGCATTTCTATTCGAAAAAAATTGAAAAACTTTTTAAATAATAAATATAGAAAAATCTACAAATTATTGCTTTTTCAAGTCGCATTTCGCTTTGTCTTTCTTTGGCTTAAACTATCAATGTGCAGTAAATCCAAGTGAATTTGACATCGTTATTGACTTAATCTTTCTTTCGGCTAATATTCTAACAACAAATTAAATAAGTTTATAAAGTTCAAAATAAAATAATAAAAGGTTAAATTATGTCATTACTTCTTATATTATCTACAAATTATAGATTCAATCTTTATATTTTAATTTTATAGATTTTAGTTTTATATTTTTCAATTTTTGAAATTAATATTTATATTTGAACCAAAATTTTAAATAATTGGACCCATTTACAATATGTTTGGCACACAAGGTAAGCAACTACGACTATAATGTGATCTATAAATCATGTTCATCTCAATCGAGGTACTCTTCAAATTCTCTTACATATTAGAAAACAATTTCAAGACTTAAATTACATAACACTCTGAAAATATAAAATCATTTTTTTATTATTATGAATTCCGACCGATAACACAAATAAAAAATAATTATTTTAAACATAAATAATAAGATCGTCAGCTCCTCGCCTGTTCCAATCACTGTCGATTAATATGTAACAGGTATTTAATCATCTTGTGTTGACAAGTCACAAATATATCTCTTCATATTTTTTTTATATTCTCTTTGTATTAGAAAATGTACGGAAACCGAACACTATAGCCTATTAGTGCATCATTGCATATAATTACATACATTTGTATATTTAATAATCACACTTAAACCATTAGTTAGGTAAGTCTGAGGTCTACGAATTTTAAAATATTCTACATAGCATATTATAAGTTGTTAATCTGAATCCTTATTTTAATTTCAATTTAATTACGTACAATCTATTTATACATTAAAATAATTAATCTTGATCTTATTTAACAAAATTTAAGTATAAAAATGAAGTTAAAGACAAAGAAGATCAAATTTTTAATTAAAATACCATACATTTTTTTTTTCTAATAAGGCAACCCACGTTACCGAAGAGATCATAAAACAAGGTAATGATGTAAATCTTATAATTTTTATTTGTAATCGATAATTTGATTGTATTCGAAATTAAATCAGATCAAAATCAAGAAATTCTCTCAATATTATTATTTTTAAATGAAAAGTTTTTGAAGTTGTTTGATCAAATTTGGTATTATTAGATTTTTCTTACATGCCTAATTCACCCAGGAAAAATTAAGGCAAGTCGGTAAAAATATACAGCAAAACAGATCACAACTGCGTTTCCTTGTATTCTTTGTTTTCCTATTTCCTGTCCTTCTCTGTCAAAAGTTGAGTTCTTGAGGGACCAGATGGAAATACAGAAGGGCAGTAGGCACCCATTAATAGATTTCTAAAGACAAAAAGAAATGGTCTGTCTTATTCTTTGGTTCTTCCTCTTTTACTGCTCTTTGTCTACCATTTTGTCTATTTGAGTCTGCCCTCCGAAACAAAAAAAGTATTCTGTAGTTGAGATTCTCATTTATTTATTGTTATTGTTGAACTGATTTTCTTTAATTGAAATTTCATTCTCATGATGCAGACCAGTTCAGAATCTTGGGAAAGTTGTGACCTTTTGGAGGTTCTTAATCCGCAGGGAAAGGTAGATGCTTTGTTTTTAAGTACCCTTTGTTTGTTTTTGTACGAGTTTGTGAAACTTGGGGTTCAAAAGTGAAAGCACACTATATGTTTGTAGGAATTCATCAATGGAAGAAGATAGGTATACTTGTGCAAGGCCAGGCAGCGATGTGTGGTGATCATTGGGAGATGGGGATTTTGAGGAAGAAGATGTTTGGGCAGTTCCTAAAGAAAGAAAAAATTCAACTGCTATCATCAAAGTTGGCCGATCCATTGAAGAATTATCATCTGCTGTTACTGTTAGAAGACACATCCCAAGTGCTGCAAGGGTGATCCCAAGAACTTTATCTGCCATTAAAAACAGTTCTGGTTCCAGTCCCAGTCGTGAAGCTAATGGTGTCAAGCAGCTGCAGCAATCAGCTCCGGTCAGTATTCCTGATTGGTCCAAGTTCTCTAGGAATAACAAGTCAAAGAAGGACTCATCACGGCATGATGATGATGCCGATTACGATGATCGTGATTTTGATGATGATGATGAAGAAGAATTCCATTCGAAATTGCCACCACATGAGTTTCTTGCAAAGAGGCAAGCAAGGAGTAGGATATCATCTTTCTCAGTGTTCGAAGGTGTTCGGAGGAAACTCAAAGGGAGGGATTTGAGGAAAGTGAGGAATGCTGTCTTAACAAAAACAGGTTTCCTTGAATGATGTTTAAGCATATATGTTGAGTCCTCCACATTGTTGTAATTTTCATAAATTGGTAAATGTTCAATTGTGGGAAATAATTCATCCTTTTGTTTTTCAGTGTTTGTATTTTGTTAGAGTCTAGTGTTTTTGTATATAGGGATTTTGAATGAAATCAATGATCACTGCCAGATGAGTTTTAGTTGGATCAAGTTCAGTGTGTGAAATTCTTTAGAGCCATGAAATTGAAACATTAAAAGGTTGTGAAATTTCATGGAATGAAAGCAAGCTCTGAGGATAAACCTGGTTCAGCTTTGATCAGTTATGTTTTGAAATTTTTGGTCGTTCATGTTTAGGTCATCATTTTGAGTTTAAGGTTGTTTTGGGCTCTGGTCATAAAATTTGAGAGTTGGATTCTTTTCGAAATCGGGTTATTTAGACCTTTTTTTCTCTAGTCTCATCAAATATCATATGACCCCTCATAATTTATGGCTCGATGTCCAAATTAAAAAAGATAAATTGTCTTGAATCATTAACGTACATGTTATATATCAATAATATCATTTCATGTTTAGATCATAATAAATTCAAATCTTTCTTAAAACTCAAGTTCACCAGGTTGTATTTTCAAATATAAATAATAAAAAATTATACAACTCAGCTAAGTGTATGATACCAAAATTGAGATTTGGGACCATATGTTCCTTTCATTTTTTAAGCTTTCGTGTACGCAATCGGCAAAACTTTCGAGATAATGTTCTCGAATTTTTTATTTAACGATATAACGTACTCCCAAGATTAATTGCTCAAATAGGGTGAAATCCACAGTGTTGGCCGTAGGTCGCCATGCCTTCCGGGCGACCTTCCAGGCATCCGAGGCCATCCGACCGAGGCCATCCGAAAGCATCCGATGCCATCCGAGAGCATTCGAGGCCATCCGAACGAGCTATGCGAGGGCATCCGAGGGCAACCGAGCGAGCTATGCGAGGGAATCCGAGGGCAACCGAGCGAGGGTAGGTCGACATGCACTCCGGGCGACCTACCCTCGCACGGTCGCTCGGATTCCCTCGCATAGCTCGCTCGGTTGCCCTCGGATACCCTCGCATAGCTCGTTCGGATGGCCTCGGATGCTTTCGGATGGCCTCGGTCGGATAAACAAGAAACATGTATGACTAAATTATAATTAAACATAAATACTAAACAGTGGCTAAAATAACATGTTTACAAATTTCATGGCCAATTTCGAAAATTAAGGAAAATATATAAAACACATGAAATCAATGATTAAAATGAAATAACTAAAAATATTATGATCAAAATGAAGCATACACAAACTTGACAGAATAAACAACTAGTGACTAAAATATAATTATTAAAATATACATGCCTGAAACAAAACATTAAAAATGTCACTAAATGATTAAACAAATAGATTACAAAGCATAGGGGACCGAAAATGCTATTATCCCCTAAATATTAAAACACACGTATGAGAGTGTAAAGTTGTGAGGACCAAATTTGCATTTAACCCAAACAATTATTGTTTGATTGTTTCTCCCATGGATCACCTGGCGACCTTCATTGGTCGCCCAGAACACCCGACGACCTTCATTCGAACTGTAGCAAACACCCTATCTCAACAATTAATTGTTGGAACGCGTTATCTCGTGAATTTTTTTTTCTCACAACATTATATTGTAAATTCAGCCCAAATAATCACTTCCATTCGATGAACAACCTTTCGTCTTTATGCCTTACATACGATGAATCGTCTTAATAGTTTAGAGCAATTTACATACGATAATAATGTTAATTTTATAACTTTAAAAAAATATTTTAGTTATTAATAATTAGTTAGTTTAGTGAGATGAAATATTAAAATTAAAATTAAAATTCTAAAATTATTTTCTCTCGATTTCAAGAAGAAAATTTTAAAGGAAAAAAATTTGATTATTCTTCGGATTTCATTAGCGGAATCATATAATTTATATATGTATATATATACACATTCAATTACACATATTATGTGTTACTTTGGTGAACACTTTTCCATGTTTCGTACGTCGAATATTATAAAAATTCAATCATCTTGAGTGTGCCATCTCAAAGGCCCGTAGGAGACTTCCCACAATCGTTGAACCAATCGGGCGTTGCCATCGACGAAGGAATATCGAGTAGCCTAGAGTAGTCTTCTTGTATAGCGTTGATCTCTTGATCTGTTACTGTTTCTTCTTTTGCTATGAATCCCACATGTATAAAAGAGAGAGAGCGAGAGAAAAAAAAAAGTAATAGAAATAGTCAGAATCAAAGAAGAAATGGTGACATTTAAAAAGGTTCATAATTCACTATAAAAGGTTCCACTTAGATAATTATGCATATTTTTACCATATTTGAACTTCAATTATTAATCCCTATCTAGCTGGCATTTTTTAAATCTGTTTCATGGACTGACCTGAAGCTAAACAATCGGAGCTGGTACTGAATCCGACCATACAGCTCTGACGCTGCATGATATCGTGGTCGCCGGCAGCCAACAGCCGAGCCTCCTCCAGCATATCATCCAACAAGCCACCTTCAGTAAAAGGGATACTCAAAGTCTGATCATTACTGATGTAGCTACTATTCCCCTTAGTATCAATCGTAACTTCTGAATTCCCGTCTAGGGAGAAAAAATGGTTTGAAGGGAGCTCGTTGTTTGTTTTCGTCGGATAAACAAATCCCGGCGTCGATATGAACTGTCCTGTATTGGCATGGTATTGATCGGCGAGGATCCTTGAAGACGAAGTAAGATCGAGTGTGATCGGATCCAATGAATATGAAGGGGAACAGTAGTGTGGAGATGTCGATGGTGTACAAGTATCAACCGTTGCTGTAACATTATGTGGATTGAAAAATGAATTCTTCTGCGAAGTAGGATACGGTAACGTAAAGCTCGAACAAGTACCGCCACTGCCATTGCCGCCATTGATGTTACTTTCGCTTACATCGTGTTTGAACCGCTTGTATCGCATCGGTATCTCGAGGGGAGGGGTTGCTCTTGGGAAGAAGAAATCGGAAGATATAGTATTATTGCTGTTATCATTATTACCATAGTTAGCATTGATGTTGTTGTTAAAAGTGTTTGATGTTGAAGAATCAAATAGAGGGAGAGTTGAAAACGAAGGCTTATGGGGAGATTGCAACGGGGACACATGTGTCGAAGGTGAAGGGCTAGGAAGTGGGGGCGGTGTCGAGCCCCCGCCCGGACTCTGGAGAGACGGTGGTGTCGAATGCGGGTTATAGAGCATGTGAGACGACGCCGATCGTGGGATATGGAGAGGGTGCAATTGCAATGTCATAGAACCTTGGAGATTCGGCAATGATGACGGCATCATCGGGGGTTGGAAGGTGAACGAGGTTGTCGTCGACGTGCCCGTCGGGGACGCAATTGGCGTTGCCGGCAGCGAACGGTGCTGGTTTCGTTGATGTTGGGAATGCAAGGGTTGGATATCAGGAGGGTAGAGTGGGAGGCCTTGGCGTTGTCTTCTCTTAATCCTTGTGTTCCAATAGTTCTTGATTTCATTGTCTGTTCTTCCTGGAAGCTACATTGTCTCAAAAAGAAAGGAATTAATAACAGATAAGCTATAATAAAAGAAACCCAGATTCAAAGCTATTAATAGAAAATTGTAGGATTTTCTCGGAATGGCTTGGAAAATAACTAGAAAATTCAAAAACTGAAACACCAAACAGATCATATTATACTATAGGAAGTCAATTGAACAGCTAGACATGTGATCCTGTCAAAGTTCTAAAAGGAAATTGAAACAAAAATAAAACAGAAAAATCATAGCTAGTTTAAGTGATTAAAATTAGCATCAAATTGTTGAAAATTACCCAGATTATGAACAAAATGCAGACACTGAAGCTCTTGCTGATACAACGAAAATGATGACGTTTAAAGCAAGAAATTAACAAAGACGATGAACAGAAAAGCATAAACAATATCAAATGACAAACACTTTCAATTTCCATGAAAGAAAATCAAAAGTACACGTAAGGAATGATCTTTTAAAAAATAAAATGAAGAAAAAAAGATAAACCCTTCCCTACATATTAATTACCTGAATAGCCATGCGAGCCCACTTGTTACCCATTTTAGCATGCAACTCAATAATTAACCTTTCTTCTTCAGGAGAAAAAGCTCCTTTTTTCAAGTTCGGCCTTAAATGGTTAGCCCATCGTAGCCTACAACTCTTCCCACAACGTGCCAACCCCGTGTTCTTTTGCACCGCATTCCAGTTCCCTTCACCGTGAGTCCTCACGTACTCCGCCAAAATCACATCCTCCACCGCCGTCCACGGCCCCTTTTTCAATATTACACCGCCTTCTCCGCCGCCCTCGTTTTGTGCACAAACTTGGTTGTTTCCGCCCATCATCATCGTCTTTTTATCCCTCCCACGTTATATGGTAATAATAATAATAATAAGATTACTAACAAATAAATAAGAAAAATGAAGACAAAAAGGACAAAGAAATCAAGTCCTCGTCCTTAGTACCATTGAAGGAGCACAATAACATAAGTCTGGGTTTTGTTTTTTTGTTTGTTTTAAGGTTTTCTTGGCGGCTTTATCTTCCATTAAATGGAAGTTTACAGCTTATTTGTTCTGGTTTTTCCCTATGTTTCCTTTTTACAGTAAGAAAATGGATTGTCATTCCCTCATAATAATAAAAAAGAAAAGGGATTTAAACATATATAGTAATTTATCTCTAACTTTGAGGTGGATTTTTGCCGTCGGGTAATTCTATGACAGGTCAAAATCAAAGGGACTATCATGGGTTTTTACCTGTTTTTTATGGATCTTTTCACATAATTTTTTAATGAAGTAGTGAAAAAATTATAATATTGGATTCTTATATATAAGACTAGTCCTAGCAGTGTACTTTTTTTTTCTGTTTGGTATTTAAATCAATTTATAATATATGAAATTATAAAACCTAAATATTATTTTATAATATAACAATCATATAAAATTAAAAAAAATGTTGGACTGTAACCTATTTATAAATTGAAAAAAAAAACAGACTTAATCAAGTACGTCTAACTCCTCAATTTTTTATAAACTCCTCAATTTACAAAGTCTTATAAGATCAACCAATGTGAAGCTGAAAATTAGAATAGTAATTTTTGCCACCCAACTTTGACCCATTGCCCTAAAGCAAAAGGTCATATGCCATGCCATCGACCCTTTATAGTTTCTTCTTCCATAGAGCATAAACTTTGAGCTCTCACGGGCTTTGCTGCACAACATCTTTGGTTGTTTCACAGAATCCAAATATATCTGCCATGGTGACATTCGTGTTATTCGGAATCATCAGAAGTCTGGGAAGAAGATGATTTTGTCGGCGGTGGCAACCGGAACTTCTTCACCGTTCTTTCCTCCAGAAGAGCTCCAACGACTTAACAATGTTTTAGCTACGGGCCTATGGCTTATATATGTGTGTGTGTGTGTTTACTGTAGAGGGATATTTGTAAGATTGCTTGATAAAGGGTTATTCTTGTTTTATGTCTGGCTTGTTTATTTTCCGGTTTAATACAATCCATTCTTGTTTGTGGTTACTCGTTTGTGCAATTTGTAATACGAGAAGGCCCATAGTGTTTAGATTGTATTCGTATTTGCACCATAGTGTTTGGTTCGGGTTTTAGTATATCCGATTCGGTTTTAATTCATGAAAATGCCCATTTGGTTTCGGTTTTGAACTTTTAAAAACTAAAGTATTGCATATTAACTAAAATTACTTGCTATATTAAATCACTACAGTAATTTTATCTCAAGTTTCAACTTTCAATAAGTAACTCAGCATTACTTCGATACTTCAAGCAAAACTATGAGGAACCTATCAAGGTCTTAAACTAACGTGGTCCAATGATTTTGAGAAAGTATTGATTCGAATTGATAATACGGATGTCCATAAACTCTTGTCTTTATATTCTTCCAAACCCCCCTTCTCCCTTGTTCATGCCATCAAAGCTTTTATCAACAAAATTTGAATAATTGACGTTAATCTCATTTGACGTGAAGTTAACGAAATAACAACCAAAAACTCCTTGTCTCAATTGACTATTTGTTGGTTTTCGGTTTCGCTCTTACTTATTTGCTTAATATTCTTCACAGGGACATATATGCATTCCATGATCGTTTAGCATATTAAAAAAAATTATTTGCTATATAGTCACTTGTAACCAGGTCAGAATTTGCTATATAATCCAAGAAGGCCTTGATTCTGCTTCGAATTTAGATTTGGTCATTGCATTATTAAGAGGGTTAAGGGTCAACTTCAAAATTGATTTTAAAGAATTGACATCGTGATTTTGGAAAGGGAAGATTATACCTAGATATAATCATGTACAAAAATAGTTTTACATGCTTTAGTGTAGATATCTTTTGTAATACGAACATTATATATCATGTATTACGCCTTCGGCTAAAACAAGACAAGTATGATAGAAACACAGGTATTTTGTCGAAATTTCCAGGCTCACTAGGAAAAAGACAACCGGGAGAACTTGAGTCAAAGAATGTAATGAAGTGCCAAAGCGAGGTTGAGTGGTGACCCATTTGGCATCATTCTATTTGCAAAAGCTCCACTTCTCTTATCTTTTTCTCGAAAGGATTATCAGGGGAACAGTTGCCGCTGGAACCACTCATTTTGTGATGGGTGCATCACACCACCATCAATAGATAAAACCATGGACCCACCCATTGATCACTGAGCTGCATCAAAATGTCCTCACCGGTTAGCCATCTAACCACCCACCCACACTTGTGGGTCAAATGGCTAATAGTGGGTTGTGCCAGCTTTCCCACAATTTTGTGATTTATTTTGCCCATAAAACCACATTGGCTTTCTGCAATCATAACTCTTATTTGGTCAGATTTGTTGCTTCTTTACTTATTGTCCATATGGTTCCTAGTTGAGTTGTCTATAAAAAAAACATATGAACACTTGCATCTTTCTCCTTTCAAATAAGAAAAAGTCGCTACTGAAAACTAATGGATGGTGGTAGGAGAGCTTTCTTGGCGAGGAACTTGTTGTTATCGTTCTTCTTTTCTGTATTCAGTTCGAGATTAAAGCTTTCGACAGCTCAAATGGTGCCGGCGGTGTTTGTTTTCGGGGATTCCTTGGTCGACGTCGGGAACAACGATTACCTCCCGGTTTCGATCGCGAAAGCAGATTTTCCTCACAACGGAATCGATTTCCCTACCGAGAAACCAACTGGGAGGTTTTGCAATGGCAAGAATGCTGCAGATTTTCTTGGTATGTAACCATGAGAACTGAGAAAAGTTTTCATTGATGCTTATTCGTAGATGTCGTTTTTAAGATTTGAACATAAATTATATCATTGGTAGCGTAATATATCTTATTACTACATTCAATTAATGTTAGGAAAATAAACCGAGTACAAGTAATTTCCCTATAACCAGATTAGTGAGAATGCGAAATAAAAGCGGAAAAATAATACCCGAAAATTGATAACGGAGTTCAGCCAATTGTGCTTACGTCTCCGGGCTGCTGCAGATCTTTTACTAAGAGAGAAAATTTACAGGTGTTTACAAAACACTCACTACTCACAAGAAAGCTCTCTAGTATAGGAAGAAAGAAATGTTTTGGGATGATTTTGAAGCTAAATGGGTAAGGGTATTTATAGTAGAAACTTAGGGACTAATCTTTGAAAATACCCTAAAGTGCAATGACTAAAGTGAATTTACCCATTCCTATTTTCAACAAACATCTACCAAAATTTTACCAAACTTTGAAAAACATTTTTCAAAGAAACATTTACCAAACTTTGAAAAAACATTTTCCAAAGTTGGTTGCCAAACTTTGAAACTTTTAACAATCTCCCACTTGAAGACTGATTTTAATATGTCTTCACACCTCGATCAATGCAGCAGCATGTCTGGTCTTGTTATTCTAGCATGCCAACTGAAGCTGAACACAACTTCAGTTTGTCCGTAGTCACCGTCTTTGTCAACATGTCTGCCGGATTTTGAGCTCCACTAATCTTTTCAAGTTTCAAAATCCCATCTTCCAGAAGAGACCGGATAAAATGATATCTCAATTGTATGTGCTTTGTCCTGGAATGAAAAGACGGATTCTTTACTAGATGGATAGCACTTTGACTGTCGCAATACAAGATATTGTTTTCTTGTTTCTTGCCTAACTCTTCCAAGAAACTTTGGAGCCAAACCATCTCCTTGCTGGCTTCCGTAACAGCGACATATTCTGCTTCAGTTGTGGAGAGAGCAACTATCTTCTGTAGTTGAGAAACCCAACTCACTGCAGTTCCTCCTAGAGTATAGACATACCCTGTAGTGCTCCTTCTGATGTCGACATTTCCGGCTAAGTCAGCATCTACATAGCCTGTCAGTATCATATCTCCACCTTTGAAACAAAGTGCTTTGTTTGTGGTACCCCGAAGATATCTGAGGATCCATTTGACTGCTTCCCAGTGTACCTTGCCCGGATTATTCATGTACCTGCTAACAGCTCCCACTGCATGAGCAATATCTGGTCTGGTACAAACCATGGCATACATCAGACTTCCAATTGCTGAGGCATACGGCACCTTCACCATGTGTGCACGTTCTTCCTCCGTCTTTGGTGATTGGTCTTTGGAGAGTCTGAAATGAACACCTAAAGGTGTACTTACTGGTTTAGCATCTTGCATGTTGAACCTGGAGAGTACTTTGTTGATGTACTCAGCCTGTGATAACATCAAAGTCCCCGACTTTGTGTCTCTCTTGATCCTCATCCCAAGAATCTGCTTTGCAGCACCCAGATCCTTCATAGCAAACTGCTTTGACAATTTTTGCTTCAAGTGTATAATCTCTTGCATGTCTGAGCCTGCAACGAGCATGTCATCAACGTACAATAATAAAATAATGAAGCTGTTGTCGAACCTCTTGATGTAGCAACAATGATCTGCTTGGCATCTGATAAAACCACTGCTACTCATGAAGCTATCGAACTTCTTGTACCACTGTCTAGGAGCTTGTTTTAAACCATACAAGCTCTTCTTCAACCTGCATACCAGGTTTTTCTTGTCTGCCTCTATGAAGCCTTCTGGCTGCCTCATATAGATTTCTTCCTCCAAATCACCATGAAGGAAAGCTGTCTTTACATCTAACTGCTCAAGATGTAAATTCTCTGCAGCTACAATTTCAACACCAGTCTGATTGTAGACAATTTTACGACTGGAGAGAAAATTTCATTGTAGTCAATACCTTCTTTTTGCTGAAAGCCTTTGACAACCAATCTTGCTTTGTAGCGTTTGCTCCCATCGTGCTCTTCTTTGATCCTGTAAATCCACTTGTTGTGGAGCGCTTTCTTGCCTGGTGGTAATTCAGCTAATTCCCATGTCTGATTTGACATAAGCGAGTCCATCTCATCTTTCATGGAAGACTCCCACTTGACTGAATCCTCCACTTGCATTGCTTCATCATAGCACTCTGGTTCACCATTGTCAGTCAGCAACAAGTAGTGTAAAGAAGGAGAATACCGTTGGGTTGGTTTAGGAATTCTGGAGGAGCGTCTCAGTTCTGGTGTGCCTGGTTCTTCTTGAACTGCTTCAGGATTGATCTGAACATCATTTCCAGAAATCTCCTCGAACTCAGCAAATTCCTTTGTTTCAGCTTCGGTATTACTTGATTCTGCGGTTGATCTATCTTTGTACATCACATTTTCATTGAAAATGACGTCTCTGCTTCTGATGATCTTCCGATTTTCATAGTCCCAAAACCGGTAACCGAACTCATCACCGCCATAACCAACAAAGGCACATTTGTTGGACTTAGCATCAAGCTTACTTCTTTCAGCAGAGTCTATGTGTACATAAGAAATACAACCAAACACTCTTAAGTGTGAAAGGTTTATTTCTTTCTTGCTCCAAACTTCCTCTGGTATTCTGCCATCCAAAGGAACTGAGGGCCCACGGTTGATCAAGTAAGCTGCAGTGTTGATTGCTTCAGCCCATAGAAATTTGGGCAAGCCGGCATGTATCCTCATACTTCTGGCACGTTCATTCAGAGTTCTGTTCATGCGCTCTGCTACACCATTATGTTGCGGTGTCTTGGGAACTGTTGTCTCCATCTTGATCCCATTGTTTGCGCAGAAATCTCTGAATCTACTGTCTCTGTACTCTCCTCCATTGTCAGACCTCAACCGCTTGACTTTCAAACCAGTCTCATTTTCCACCATGGCCTTCCATTTTCTGAAGATATCGAAGACTTCTGATTTCTTCTTCAGAAAATAAACCCACACCTTCCTTGTTGAATCATCGATGAATGTGACATAATATAGTGAGCCTGCAAGAGATGGAACTGGGGATGGTCCCCATACATCAGTATGAACCAATTCTAACCTTTCTGCCTTGGGTGTCTTGCCAATCTTTGCAAAACTGACTTTCTTTTGTTTGCCAAAGATGCAATCCTCGCATAGTCCGACATCTACATTTTTTAGATCCGGCAGCTTCCCTTTTGACAAAAGTGTCTTCATCCCTTTCTCGCTCATATGGCCAAGCCTTTGGTGCCATAGGTTTGATTTTCCATCAGCATCTGCTACTGCAATGATATTCTCTAAATTTGAGGTTACATAGAGAGTACCAGTCTTCTTACCACGAGCAATGACGAGTGCTCCTTTGGTAATCTTCCATTCACAGCCTGAAAAGGTTGTGTTATATCCTTCTCCATCAAGCTGTCCAACAGAAATCAGATTTCTTTTGAGGCCAGGAATATGTCTCACTCCTGTCAGCTTCCAGGTGGTCTGGTTTGGCAACTTTAGTCGGATGTCTCCTTTTCCGACGATCTTTAAGGTTTCATCATCAGCAAGATGAACCTTCCCAAAATCACCACTGACATAGTTCTCCATGATTTCTCGGCATGGGGTGGAGTGGAAAGATGCCCCTGAATCCAAGATCCATGATTCAATCGGACTGTTGACGCTTAAAATCATGGCATCACATGTCTCCTCCGTCATGTTGGCAGATTCCTGTGCGCCGATATTTTTCTTCGGTGCTCGGCAATCTATTTTGAAGTGACCCTTTTTGCCGCAATTATAACAGGTAAAATCTTTATTTCCTGTTCTTGATTTGCCCCTTCTAGATTTTGATCTGCCACGATTTGAATTTCTTTCTGAAGTTCTCCCTCTAGACTCCGTGTGTAAGGCTGAGGAGGTTGATGCTTCACCCGATTCTCTTCGTCGAATTTCTTCACTCAATACCAGATCCCGAACATCGTCGAATTTTAATTTGATGTTTCCCGACGAACTGCTGACTGCTGTAACAGTAGCATTCCAACTGTCTGGTAGAGATGATAAGAGAATTAAAGCTCGAACTTCATCATCGAACTCAATTTCCACTGAACTCAACTGGGTTGTGATTGTGTTGAGTTCATTTAGGTGTTGTGCCACCGATGCCCCTTCCGCCATCCGCAAATTGAATAATCGTCTCATCAAATGAACTTTGTTTGAGGCCGATGGCTTCTCGTACATACTGGAGAGAGCCGCCATAAGACCCGCCGTGGTCTTTTCCTTTGCTATGTTAAAAGCAACATTGCGGGATAACGTCAGTCGGATAACTCCGAGGGCTTGTCTGTCGAGAAGAGCCCAATCTTCATCCTTCATGCCCTCTGGTTGCTTTCCTGAGAGAGGTTGATATAGATTTTTCTGGTACAAAAAATCTTCAATCTGCATCTTTCAAAAGCCAAAGTCCGCACCATCGAACTTTTCAATTTTCACCTTCCCTTCGTATGCAGCCATCGCTCCCACTCGAATCTGGCTTCGTTTGGATCGTTTCTGACAATTCTTGCGAATCACCGTGTATTAGAACACCACCGTCGACAAACTCGTATCGCCGACCGAATTTCACTATTCACGAAATTCACTATTCACGTGAATAGTAATGAATAGTAACCTCGCAGAAAATTTGACAAAATTCACAACCAAAAGCTCTGATACCAGTTGTTAGGAAAATAAACCGAGTACAAGTAATTTCCCTATAACCAGATTAGTGAGAATGCGAAATAAAAGCGGAAAAATAATACCCGAAAATTGATAACGGAGTTCAGCCAATTGTGCTTACGTCTCCGGGCTGCTGCAGATCTTTTACTAAGAGAGAAAATTTACAGGTGTTTACAAAACACTCACTACTCACAAGAAAGCTCTCTAGTATAGGAAGAAAGAAATATTTTGGGATGATTTTGAAGCTAAATGGGTAAGGGTATTTATAGTAGAAACTTAGGGACTAATCTTTGAAAATACCCTAAAGTGCAATGACTAAAGTGAATTTACCCATTCCTATTTTCAACAAACATCTACCAAAATTTTACCAAACTTTGAAAAACATTTTTCAAAGAAACATTTACCAAACTTTGAAAAAACATTTTCCAAAGTTGATTGCCAAACTTTGAAACTTTTAACAATTAATCTATTGATAATGCACAAAAAAAAATAGTTCTTATAAATTTTCAACTTAAAAGTAACTATTTTGTGGAGCCGGCTGCTTAAATTTTCCAACTTGAAAGCAACCTACCTTATTTAAGGCACACATGAAATAACAATTAATGAAAACGACAACATTCTGACACAGAGTTACTTCGCCTTTGACTACTACCAGTACTTGATTATGTTTGTATTCACATTGTTCTATATACATATATACATATATGAATATTGACATTGTGTTTTATATGTAACATTTGGACAGCTGAAAAACTAGGGTTACCAAGTTCACCACCCTATCTGTCCTTGTCAAAGAAGAAAGATGCCCCTTCTTATATAAACGGTGTTAGCTTTGCCTCCGGTGGTGCTGGAATCTTCAACGGCACGGATCAAACTTTAGTAAGTCTTGAAAATCTCGTGAATATTTAATCTTAAAGATGATTGTATGAACTAGTTGCTTTTTAAATTGAGCTGTTAGGGTTTGTTGTTTCATGTGTTTTTCCAAATTTTATTCCGGGTCAATCCATACCATTATCAAAACAAGTGGACAACTACATTGCAGTGCAGAAAATACTTTTCCAGCAAATGGGATCGTTTGCTTCAGAAAAGCACCTTTCGAAGTCGCTTTTCGCCATTGTTATCGGCAGCAATGACATTTTCGATTACTTCGTATCGTCGGATCTTAGAAAGAAGAACACCCCACAACGATATGTGGACTTGATGGCTAACACCCTAAAAGGACAACTCAAGGTAAACTAATTAATTGATTTGCATTGTTAAATGATATATAGCAAACAGTGAAAGTACTTGATCCTAAAAATTCCAACATTACAGAGACTATACGAAACCGGTGCTAGTAAATTCTTTCTCACCGGCATCGGAGCAATAGGGTGCGTTCCGGCGGAAAGGGTTAAAAACAAAACTCATGAAGGCAGCGAAGAACGAAATTTCTGGTCTGACAAATACAATGAAGAGCTGAAGGCAATGTTGAAAGGGTTAAAATCAGAACTTCAAGGCGTAAACTACTCTTACTTTGATACTTACAGTATCATGCAAAGCGTGGTCCAAAATCCATCTTCTTACGGTATACATCCATCCATCCATACATACACACATGCATGCATGTAAGCTAAAATGTGAGGCTTTTGAGCTTTTTTGTAGGGTTCAATGAGATAAAAAGTGCATGTTGTGGACTTGGGGATTTGAAAGCTGAATTTCCTTGTTTGCCGGTTTCGAAGTATTGCTCCAACAGGAGCGATCATGTTTTCTGGGATCTGTATCATCCGACAGAGGCAACGGCTAGGGTTTTTGTGGATACTCTTTTTGACGGTCCTTCGCAATACTGTGTTCCGATGAATGTTAGGCAATTAGTTTCTACTTGAAACTTATAGTGAAAAGATCAATACCTTACAGTACTGAGAATCATATAGCCGTTTGCGACTTTAATATTTGAGACAATATGACACGAAGAATTATACGAATTCAATATAAATATTTATTTTTTTATATTGAATATAGAATGTATGAGGATGACAACATGAAGAGACAAATATATAATTTATTTTAGTTTATTTGGAAGTATTATCATATTAGTTTATAACTTTATAATTTCATTTAAGTTCAATTTTATTCTAGTTTAATATATTTATAAGGTTATAACCGATACTATATTGACTGATTATTTCATGAACCAAAGTTGATGGTCAACACGTCTTGAGATGCAATGTAACACCTAAAACTTTTATGTTTACATGAATTTAATGTATTAAACTCGACCTCTTTTTTTTCTTTTCTTTTTATAAATAAAACACTAATTCAAAAATTCTATAAATTTCTAAATTAGATCTTTAAAAATATACCATCAAGTTTTTTAAGCTTTTTAAACTTTGTAATTCAATCTTTACTATTGTCAAATCATTAATCAATTTATCATGTGATGTAAGTAATGATAAATATTCTATGCTATACATAATCTTCCAATAATGTATTTTCTTAAGAGAAAATAACCTCAGTGACCAAAAATCCCAGATAATATACGATTTTGACCAACTTTTTTTGGATTTGCGAAAATGACCAACAAAATCGCAATGCGATCTCTAATTCGCATTGCGATCTCCACTATCGCAAATTCGCGTTGCATTTCGCGTTGCCATTTTTCATTTCGCGTTGCGATTTTTCAGTTCGCGTTGCGATAGTTGAAAATAGCATTGCAATTTTCCATTTCGCGTTGCGATAGTTGAAAATCGCGTTACGATTTTCCATTTCGCGTTGCGATAGTGCGAATGCAACGCGAATTTGCGATAGTGGAGATCGCAATGCTAATTAGAGATCGCATTGCGATTTTGTTGGTCATTTTCGCAAATCCAAAAAAAATTGATCAAAATCGTATATTATCTAGGATATTTAGTCAATGAGGTTATTTTCTCTTTTCTATTAAATTTTAAACATTCCACGATAATGGTTATCGAGAGTTTAGACCGAACATACATTCGAAAGACTCATCAATAAGATTGAAATTTTAAAATTTAAAAATTAATCAAATTGGAGTAAATGAACTAAATTTATAATTTAAACATAGTTTTGGGACAGATGATAGAATTTCACCGATTAACCATATGCTTTTGGAACTGCCAATGATTGATTCAAATCATGCAATTAGTTCCTTCATTTGCATTTTTGTCCTAAATTTATGTTATTTTAATATATTCGGTGATTAACATTACTAAGTCTCGATATAAACACTGCAGTGAGTTTTTATTGTTATTTTTTATATACGAATATTGGTTAGAAGTTTCATTTAAAATTAAATATTTAATGCTCTTGTTTTAAAACAAAAAATTCACGTAAAAAAATTTAAATATAGTAGTATTTGTTAAATAGTTTTCAGTTTTATTAAACAAATTTAAATACATTTTCCACTCGGCTTTCAGCTTCACCCGAAGGAATCCCCCGCTCTATCTGCAAAATAAATATGTATATATATAAAAAAAAGTAATAGTGGAATAAACCATTTTGATCCTTTTCTATTTTAACAAATTATCTATCTATCGTCGTCGTCTTCTTACTGCTCCGAATCTTAACGTGCGCTCCGCACGCGCACGATATGGAAGCTCAGTCGCTTGTCTCCACAGCAAGAATCGCTTTACACTCCGCAGCTGCCAAAGCCGAGAGAGTTCTCACTGATTTGAAATCCGATCTAAGTAAATTGGAAAATCTCTATATTTTTGGCTGTAAATATTTTTTGCAAAATTTTTATTGTTATTTTTTTCGCTTTGCTATTTTTAGATTCCTGTTTATCAGTTTCCGGATATTGATATTAGATATTAACGACGGAGTTTTGTTTTTGTTTTCTGTTCGTTTGGTGAAGATTGTGAATTATCATCTTCGAAAGAATTCAAAAATGAATCACCGACGAGATACGACGAGTCTAAGGTAAATTTTTCTTTTTATTTTGAAACTGAAATGCGGCTTTCTTTTAAGCTTGAATGTAGGATTAGGCTTATTATCTTTAGAATATTCTTTTTAAAAAGGTACATTGGGACCTTGTTTGGCTGCTGAGAAAATGAAGTAAAGTTCAGAATTATGTTGGACTTATTTGAAACTAGAAGAGTTTAACTTAGTTTGTTAGGAATTGAAATGGAGGCTTTGCAATTTGTATGCTATTCAGTTTCCCAGCACTTTTCCAGCTACCAAACAAGGTTTCAAAATTCTTCCCGGTACGTATCATGTTGAATTTTGTTGAGTTCAATTTGCACATTTTGTTTTCCCTGATAATTCATGTAAAATAATAAATTAATTTTCAATACGTATTTATTTATTTATTTATTTATTTTCATTTTAAAACTTGTGTGGCATAAAGCAGAGTATTCATGAGGTAAAGCATTCAAAGTGGAAACCGGCAAATTTGGGGACCAAGCAAGAATGGCAAATTTGTGTGGCACAGTGGCTGCCAGCTCTCCGGCACGAGTTAGCACAGGAGAACTTGTTCTTCGACTAGGAGCTAATCAACTGGTTGAAATTTTGATAATGTTAGAAACTGGTGAACATATATACTCACCTATTACTCAGGTTTGGTTGACTGACTCTGCTAACATATTGCTTACCATTTGACCTTATTCCCATGGTTCACTGTTTTTATGTATGACTGTAGGAAGTACCATTGCGTACAGAGGATCTTATCAAAGAAACAGAGGAGTTAGTGCTTCGTACTGGGAGGTCAGTATATTGACCAACCACTCCTAAAACCTTGTTACATTTTTATAAGGATTTCCCACTATAGAATTCTTATCTACCTTCTTCTAATGGTCATTGTTGCGTAGATTTGTTTGTGATCATATTATTAAGGTTCTACTGTTTGATTTAAAGCAATTATCTTGTCTTTCAGGGTCAACCTATCTAATGCTGTTATGCATGTCGAGTTTTTCTGATTATTTAAAAAAAATTCCATATCCTGATGTGCAGATCAAAGTTTTTGATGAAAATCACACAGTTTTTCCTCTGCTGTCATATTACTCATTATTCTTGTTATTCTTTTACTCATTACCTTATCTTTTGATGGTCAGTGTTGGTGCTGGTTGTTCTCAACTCCTCTCTGACATGCAGGCTTTCATGGTATATTTTAGCACAGAGAAATCAGCTCTATCTTATTACTGTTGTAGATACATATGAACGCAGAATGTTATTTCAAGTGTCTATTGATTACCTATCTAAATTTACTCAACAAATGTTTTAGGCTGCCAATCCCGGCTGTATTTTAGAGGACTTTGTTAGATGGCACTCTCCTCCTGATTGGATTGAAGCTGACCCAAGCGATGAGGTTAACTCTTCAGTTTCAAGAGGTCAACTAAGTAGCCGAATGCAAAAAGAAGGGTTTTTCTCTTTATTTTAGTTTCCTCTACGTAATCAAGTTAGCTGCAATTTAGTTTCTTCTTGGTCAGGTTTTTATGTGAACACAGGTTCATATAGTTAAGAAAGTTACTTGAATGACCTTGTATTGTGTTCTTGTGTGACTCATATTAGGAGAATGAATTCTGAATAACGTCTAGGTAGAGGGTTTTACTTCTTGATGTATTTGTTTGACATTCTTAACCTACAGGTAGTGTCACTTGCTAGGACTTTTCTATGGTTGACTCTGATATTTGAATTATATACGTTTCAGGTAATATGTGGCGTGAACTATGGGATACAGCGACGCCAATACCAGCCATTAAACAAACACCTCTCTTCGATGTTGATTTGGCAGTGTAAGTTGGAGGCTCAGCATTTTATGTTACAACTCCTAGATTTTTTTTCTATCACAGGTGCATTGTTCTTACAGTAATTCCTTGTGTTATAGTTCCTACAGGGAAGGAATTCTGAATTTCTTAGAGGACATCCCCACGTCTGAGCACTTTCAACAACTGTTTGTTTCTCTAGTAAGTGCTTTTATCTGATTACGGGAGATGTGTTTTTTATTTGTCTCATAATTTTAAGTCAAACATGATTAATCAACTAGTCATTTCTTTGGAAAAACTTTTCCAAGCTGTTCTACGAGTGCAAAGACTATGTCGTTGCGACTTGTCAGAAAAGTGTCTGGAATGACAAAATGGACGATCTTTGCCAGGTAGTTTCAATTGTACTAAGCTGCTTGAATATCTCTACCAATGGCTACAAGTATCTTTAAAACACATATATCAAATGCTTATGATAAACTAAATGCCAAGTAAAATGATGGAGTGCCTTTGTTTCGGGCACGTTCGAAGTTTCCTTTCGAATGACTTCATATGCTTGACCGTTTTGGTTTATAAGATTTTGTTTTTCTGTAATCTGACGGTGTTCATTGTCAATGACTCAACAGCTGTATGAAACAGTGGAAAAGACGGTGGCGACTCCAGAAGAAGTCATAAAAACAATAAAGCAGGCAGAGGAGACATCGTCAATCGAAAACGGAAATGCTTCTGGTGAGCTAAAACGTCGATTTAAGCTCAGTCTCAACTTCAGCAGCAAGGAGAAACAGCAGCTGAGAAAATCTCCTCCGAAAGACCAGAAGGACTCGGATGACAATCCTTCTAGACCATTTGCTAGCTTTTTCGATAGCAAGTCATCTTTATTTTCAAAGCTATCCCCAAAAAATCTCTCACATCCATCCTTAGACGAAATCGATTGGGCATTGGTTTGATCGTACCATTCTTTGCTGCCGCCCCGTCCTATTTTCCGATAGGTTTAATCAGAGCATAGGTTTGCAGGCAAATGTAAATTATTGTGAAATGAGCTAATGGCGTTAAAGTTGCGATTCTTGTTTTTCTCTTGGTAATAAAATGTGCATTGCTTCAACAGTATGTGAAAAATGAACAGAACTTAGCAAGGGAAACATATATGGTCATATCTTCATGAGAAAAAAAAAAACCTGGCCTTCCATTGTCTGAGCTTGATCTTCACAGTCTTCCTTGGCTATCATTTTCATTTGTGTTCTGATCTTCACCAACCTTGTCAAATTCGAAATACTTGGAGATGAAATAAGGTGCCACGAAATTACCCAAGAAGTAAACAACCAGAAGCAATGCACTGCATTTCCATGAAAAATCCACAAGTGTTATTTTTTTGTGTAAGAACTTCAAATTTTGAAAAAAAGTTTATTCTAAAAATAACAAAATTAAAACATAAAGACTAAATCTACCTCTTAAAGCATAGTACAAGTAAGTAAGAAGAAGAACTTAGACCTTGTTTGGAGGAAGACTGTAATGTCACCAGATTGAGATGGAGGGATTTTGGCAGCGATAAAAACGGGAGTGGATGCAGCATTTGTCCTCGAATGCACATTAATCTGTTTTCGCAAAACCAGGCTGGGAGCTGATTCACTGCTGCAAAACTGAAGCTGCTGTTTCGCTTTCGGATTCTGTTTATTGAGCTGAGAATTCAAAGGGAGAAATCGAGAATAACAATGGAGGCAGCTCATGGCGATGCTCATAATTGAAATTTTAGCCCTTGGGTCTTCACTCTTCGGCAGAAATGGCCTAGATTCTTTGGGGAAGGAGAGGATAACAGTGGGATATTTTGTTTAAATTTCCACGTGGTCTAAATACACTGGAAAATGGACAAACAATTTACTGGGTTTGGGTCAGTTTGAGATTTGGGTTTAATATCATGGAAGCCGATTCCAAGGCATTGGGCCCAAACATTTGGCATAATTTGTCCATTCTAGAAATGATTAAAAAAATAGAAACCGACAATTTTCGAATCGATTAATGGGTTGTTTTTTTCTAAAAAAAAAATAGATTCAAAATAGGTTAGAATAAGTTACGTGGAAAAAAATCGAGATCGAAAAACAAGCTATTAATCTATTTTTGCTTCATGTTTGTTAGAATGTTGGAAACATTCATATCCATGGGTGTTAATTGCATCCATAACTGCTTCATGTAGGGGCGTGTTTAGGCCTAGGCCTACCTTGGTCATAGCCACCCATGCCAAAAAAAAGGTTAAATTACTTATTAGTCACTCACTTATTATTATTTTGGTTCTATTTTGGTCGTTCGTCCTTAAAATTAACGATAGATTATTAAAATAGAACCAAAACATAAGATTAGTATGATTTTGAAAAAATAATAGTTGAGTGACCAAAACATAAATTAAGAAACAGGTGGGTGACCAAATAGTTAGTTTACCCTAAAAAATTATGTATGAATTAGGTTAAGAAAATTATATTGATTTAATTAATATATATTTTCTATATTTAATCTATATATAATTGTTATTATATTTTAAATTAAAAATATCTATGAATTATTTTAAATAAAATTTTTATTATGTGTATATTGGCTCAACTTGTAAAATTTTTAATATATATAAATTATATAACTACATTCGCTCGTCTATGATTTTAAATATATTGAATATATTATATTTGATTACACTTCTAACATGAATGAATAAAAATATATTTATAAATTTTATTTCAACAAATGATTGGTAGTGAAATGGTGAATTGTATTGTTTTCATTATCGAGATTAATCCTTACTTTATTCGTTAAACGAATAAACCGGGACACATGTGATTAAGAAATAAAATAATCACCAAATATTTCATCAAATCACCTGATCTGTTTCTGCTAATCCAACCCATTCCTTTATTAAGTTTCATTTAGTTGAATAGAACCCACAACTACTAGCAACCCTGCGGTATTGATGGTTACGTTAAAAAAGTCAAAATTTTGCATGGATATGAAAAGTAGACTTTTAAAATTGAAAACCCTAATGACAGAGATGCAAACAACACCAGAAGTCCATGCAAATTGCAGTGAAAAGAAGTCCATGCACTTTGCATAAAAGCAATGGCTTTCAAGGTGAAGAATTAAAGATATCCATTCCTTTTTTCTTTTTTATCTTTTTAAATCAGTGGGTTCATGGTTATAGTTTTTCTTTCGTCAAAATTAGTGACAGTTGGGTGCATTAAATCTTCCAACACGGCTTTTAGATAAGGAAGATGAGCCCAATTTAAGATCTCAACTGTACTCTTTTTCCCAAGCGTTCATGGAGTTTCTTTTTTCTTTTTCCACTATATAAACCCTTGTTGGATACCTCAGTTCTCATCAAAGTTGTCTTTTTTAAGTGTTGGAGAAGATGACTGCTTCTAGGGTTCTTCTTGTTTTGTTTCTTGGTGCACTTGTTTGTGCCACTAGTGCTAGGAAGCTTACGGGTGGGTTTGACGATGAGAAAAACCACTTCCATAGTCGGCCGAGATTCGGGGGTGGATTAGGAGGAGGTGGTGGTGGTGGAGCTGGAGGAGGGTTAGGGGGTGGTGCAGGTGGTGGAGCTGGATTAGGTGGGGGTGCTGGTGCTGGTGGTGGACTTGGTGGAGGTGGAGGTGGAGGGTTTGGAGGCGGTGGTGGAATAGGTGGGGGTGCTGGATTCGGAGGTGGTGCCGGTGGTGGGTTTGGAGCTGGAGGTGGACTAGGTGGTGGAGGCGGAGCAGGTGGAGGAGGTGGGTTTGGTGGTGGTGGTGGTGGTGGAATCGGAGGAGGAGCGGGTGCCGGGGGTGGATTTGGAGGTGGAGCTGGTGCAGGCGGTGGAGTTGGAGGAGGATTACCTTGAAGTCATGCAGGAGATATAATGTCTACATATGTTTTGAATTTTATTCTGTTATGAGAAGTATCGATCAAAATGTATTACGTGTTGATTATTTTATGTTATTTGTTCCAAATTGTGAAAGAAAGAAATAAAATCTTCATAAATTAAAGGTTTAAACCCTATGCTTTCTCATAATTTCATCATATATATATAATTATTTGTTTATATATGTTAAGCCATGCCATGCCATGCATGCCACAAATTCATTAATTATTTCACTTCCACCGACATCTCTGTCTATTTTCTACTGTTTCATTATTAATAGTAATGTCGTGAATGCTTTTTCATATATAATAAATATATACACTTGAGTTAAAGAAATTATACATTTCAGTAAATATAATTTTCTACCCAAAGTTCATTTTCATTATAAATGCCAAATCTTAGCAACCTTGTTAGAACACTGTGCTCCTCTATTTTCCATATGATGGATCTTAATTTTACAATATAATCATCACACCCAAACATTCTTATTTCAATTCTCATCATTAAGAAGCAATTTTCTTTTTTAACGATGATAACTAGATTTTATTAATAAAAAAAATTAGAATTACAATGCACCCAGACAGAAAAAGAAAAATAGAGATAATAATCACACACAAAATTCATACAAAAATAAAAACATTAAATCTAAAGATACGAAGAAAAATAAAAATTCCGTTGAAAATATCGACCAACATCAAAAGAATCTAATAACATTCGTAAAACCCATTGTCCATGTCGAATGAGACGTTTTACGAAGTGATAAATGAGTGGCGAGCAAGCCAAACTATCTGGCAGGTTACTTCATTACACAATTTTGATTATATCAACAAACAACCTTTGTACCATATGACTATATGAAAACAAATGTCCTGAGATTCTTTATGCGAGCACCAAAACGACCATAAAGGTATACAAAAAATGTACCAAAAGTCATAAGGATTGTGTCACAAGAGCAGAGAAATCGCATGCCATAAGTGCAAAAGAAATCGTATTACAAAAACATAGATTCTTATTCAAATTTGACAAAAAAAATTTAGAAAAATAAGAAAATAAAAGCCATGGTATGAAAAAAACGACATTTGCCATTAAGATTAGCGTTTCCACTTATTAAACAAAAATCAAAGGAAAAGAAAGAGGAGACACAAAAATATTAAAAGAAAACTTAAATTAAAAAAAGGAAGACATCTTTATCTATTACTAAGCAATTTTCAAAACCAAAAAATATAGTCTCTGCATCCACTATAATGAGAATTAAAGTACTAAAAAAATAAGAGTTAGGATAATTATTTAATTAAATAGTAATATTTGTATTATATTATTTTAAAATCAATAAAGACTTGAGAACAATTAAATCGGAAAAGGTTCGGGTGGCCCTTCTTATTGCCAAGGTAAGTGCGTCCATACTAGTCCTTGTATTTTACAGAAGTCAACAAGTTAGTCCAGTGATTGGTTAAAGTAAAAAGTTAAAGCTATAAAGTGACGAATATGCTCTTCCTCATAGCCTGCGTACAGCAAAATAAGTGGTGCATTATTCATCTTTAATTGCTGGTCTAGATACCTACTTTTATTTATTTATTCCTCTTAGCTTAGCTTAGCTTAGCCTGCCTACAGCAAATTATTTATATTTATGCTATAAAAATATATGGATTATAATATAAATTATAACGTTAATTAAAAAAGGAAAAAATTCATTAAAATTATTTCTGAAATGTAAAATGAGAAAAACAACGTGACTTCAATCAGTTTCATCAAAATAATTTATTCTTAATTATATATTAATATTTTTGACAAAGCTAAAGGTAAGATGTTGGATGTGAATTTTGTTTACACCGATTGTGGGATCATGATTGTGACACATATATTTTTGTTATTTTTTTAGTTTTATAATATAAATTATCAATTTTTTTTATAAAATTAATATATTTTAATCAATACTTTTTTAGATAAATTTATAATTTATGTTATAATTATTATATATTTATTAAATAAATGTAATTAATATTGTAGAAGAATATATATTTTACAATAAAATTAACCAAATTTATAGTTTACCCTTAATTATTTAAACATATTTAAAACATGCTATATTCACACTTCCCCCTCTCTTGTCTCTCTCGTAGAAAGAAACAGAAAGGAAAAAAACTAGATTTTTTTGTTTGCAAATTACAGTTTATTCGACGGCTCTCGTACTTGTCTGCAAAAATCAGGTTAAATTTTGCTTCCATTTATGATTTTTCTTCATCTCTCATCATTGCCTTTTTCATTTCATTAAATGTTTAGATTCAGATCCACGCAATTCTTAAAAGGGTACATTTTCCCCCGAATCCGTTTTGTTGTCTAATATTCTTGATCTCCCAGTACAGCTCTAGTTTTACACTGAAATCTTGTAATCATGTTATAAATTATTGATTTTTATTTGATTTCTCCTTTAGATTCTTAGTTTTGCTTTTAGTTTCTGAATATCGGTGGCGATGTTGGGTGCTTTAAGGAGAAAAGTCGCGACCGGAGGATCATCAGTTTCGGTTAGAACTTTTAACTTCTCTTTTTGAATTGTGGTTTATTCAGCTTAAGCATTTGGATTTTATTTTGCTTTTCCGTTTCTTTTACAGGTATTGGGCAAGTCCATTCAGGTGATTCGCCCGAACGTTTCAGCATCTAGAGTTTTTTCAAATGCAGGAAAAGAGGTAAATAGTTCAGCTGAAAATGAATATGGTTCGATAATGGTGCTTGTGGTTCAGTTTCTCTTGAATTTTGATTGATGTCGATATTCAATGCTATTAAATCTTTAATTCATGTAAAAGATGTTCGGTTTATTTATGTTTTCCTATAATAAAATGTTGCCATGAAGTCAAAAAAAAGGGTAAACGACTGCAAGATCTTATATAAATTTTGAGATGAAATTAATAATGAATATTGTAGCTTTTTTACTTCTGTTGGAGAAAAAGTAATTGCCAAATGAGAGCTTTCTTCTAATCATGCATTGGTAAGTATCTCAAGAGACTTACATTCATGTGTTTGAATAGATTCTGTTACTTCAGCCAAGAGGAATTATCCATGTCCGCTACTTCTCTCATCTTGTTCTGCCAGGTAAATCTTTTGCGTTGTTTTCTTCTCATTTTGATGAAGTTATGTTGATTGTCTTTGTTGTTAATTGAATATATTTCTTGATTGTTGCAGGCTGTTCTGCTGGTTTGACAAAGACAAGGTTAGTTGGTTTTGAACTTCTGTAATCCGAATCAATTTTAGGAATTGTACTGTCACTGGTTTGTCATTTCTTAACTCAGTGAGGGTATGGGTGAACTACTGGAGTGATCTGATGTTTGTATGTAGTGTGATTATCATATCTATCATTTACTGGAAGGTCTATGTCATCACAAAGTAGTGTATCTTATTTTTGTTTATCCAGAAACTCTATTAGTCACAGCACTTAGAAAGGAAATCCAATCCCCATGTTTTTCTTTTGGTTCTTCGAATCAGTTTGCCACTCCTTTGCGCTTCTTTCCCCTGAAAGTTTTTCTTACGAGCAGGGATGTTATCTCTAACATTCAGTCAGAGGCTATCATGCAAAAGTCATGCAGGGCTTTTTCTTCTGGAGATGGTATGATATTGATCAATGTCAATATTTATTTTACCAAAGGCAATATGTTCAAATAAGAAAATAGTTTTAATTCAATAGTTATTTTAATCCATGGCTTCAACGTTTTTTGTTTTTCCACTGCATTATTAGCTTGCAAACAGTACAGATTGATGCAGAGCTTGTTTCTGCTTGAAACCATATATTCATTTTTATCTCATTATTATGTTAATTTAAAATTTTATGACTTCTACAACTTACTTTTTGGTGAAGGTGATCTGGTTGACGCTGTTGTCCCTTTTATGGGAGAATCAATTACTGATGGCACTCTGGCAACATTTTTGAAAAGTATGTTTTCAATTATTGTAATTTCCATCCATTACTATACATATTCTCTATTTTATGATTACACGTGCTTGATCGTGGATATATCTGAATTTTCGAGAGCAGAACCTGGTGATAGAGTCGCGGCAGATGAACCGATTGCTCAAATAGAGACAGATAAGGTACTATTCTTCACTATTCTTCTTAGGAAGGTATAGGTTTATACCTCTAATACCTGCAGTGTTTATTTTCATCAGGTGACAATTGATGTTGTCAGCCCCCATGATGGTGTGATACAAGAGGTAATAACAATATATCAATAAATATAGAGCTTTGGGTCAAACAGCATGCACTTGTATAGCTTGTTGGTTATTTCTGGACTCCTATCTTCTCTTTTCTGGGAGCAAGGGGAGTGGACTGGATCCTGAATGTAAGTATTGTTATTCTTGCCAGTATGTTGCCAAGGAAGGAGATACCGTGGAACCAGGTGTTAAAATTGCTGTCATTTCAAAGTCCGCCGAGGGTGTAGCACCTTCTGTTCCTGCTGAAAAGAAATCAGAAAAAACTACTTCGAAGTCATCTCCTCCCACTGAAGCAGTAAAGGAGGATAAGCCAAAAGCTAAAGTTGAAGCTTCTCCTGCTGCAGAGAAATCTAAAGCCCCTGCCACACCACCTCCAAAACGAACTGCTACTGAACCTGTACTTCCTCCCAAGGAAAGGGAAAGAAGAGTAAGTTCTCATTTTCTCTTTACATTGAAATGGTGAAAAATGATGTTAGGCATCTTAAAAAATAAGCCGTGTATGGCTTCATGAATCATGATTACAGGTTCCTATGACAAGACTTCGGAAACGGGTAGCTACTCGGTTGAAAGATTCTCAAAATACTTTTGCAATGTTGACAACCTTCAATGAAGTCGACATGTGGGTTCTCTTTCCCTCATATTTTAATTTGTGTCATGCATCCTGCCAACTATCTGTGCTAACTAACTTTCTGGACATTTCCATTTGGTCTGTACAGAACTATTTGCTTAACTCTTCTCTTACAAATTTTCTGTGAAAGTTATTAAATCAGCATACTTCATAAAGGCTATAGTATATTTCTGATAAAACCGGTTCTGTTATTCTTTTCTAATTCATTTGCTTCTCGTTGCAGGACTAATCTGATGAAGCTCCGCTCTGATTACAAGGATGCTTTTGTTGAGAACCATGGTGTCAAGTTGGGATTTATGTCGGGATTTGTTAAAGTATGCAATATTGTTCTTGAAATGCTTCCATATGCATTCATAACCTGCCTTCACCATTTGCTTTTTCTTTTTCCCCTTACCATTTCTTCTATTTTATCTTTTCAGGCTGCCGTTAGTGCACTTCAGCATCAGCCTATTGTAAATGCTGTAATTGACGGGGATGATATTATTTATAGGGATTATATAGATATCAGCATTGCTGTTGGTACTCCAAAGGTAATTCTATTTAGTAATCGTCTTTCTTTAATGTTGTCTGATTTTCCAAATTGCAAATCGGCCATTTAATGGCTTGCTGAAACCTTTTCTTTACAATGCCTAAACTACCCATAACCCCCCAAACCCTTAAATTGGAGGCTAATGCGCTTGCTTAAGCACATTCGAACCCAGAGCCTCAAGAATGCTGTAGCAACAATGGTGTCAACCGAATTAAGACTCAGTTGATGGGTTGCTTAAGCTTCAATTGTTACTTTTTCTCTACTTTTCAAAGAAGCTTATAGGAATTGAAAATTTCGTGTGAGCGTAGAGTAGTTTTTTAAATTGAAATGAGGAATCCGCAGATCCATGATTTTCTCTTTGACAATTAAAGAAACTTTTTTTTGTTGAAGGGTCATTTTTCCACTTGTTTTCTTTATCACTGAGCTGAAGTTTATTTATTTATTTCACGAAAAAGAGATGTCTAGAAGATTAGACATTTCTTTCGAAAATAAAAACTTGAAAGTTGCCAATCGTATATAGACCAGTGTTCATAAACATATGAATGGACCTCATCACTGCATAGCCATTGAAAGTAGAAAAAAGAAGAATGTGGTTCATGTTTCTATGTTAAGGTTTTTGTTCCTTTGTCTTTCCTGCCAGGGGCTCGTTGTTCCAGTTGTCCGTGATGCTGGTAAGATGAATTTTGCCGAGATAGAGAAGACAATCAACAGCCTTGCGAAGAAGGCAACTGATGGGACCATATCAATTGATGAAATGGCTGGGGGCTCATTTACAATATCCAACGGTGGTGTTTATGGAAGTCTGTTGAGTACCCCTATTATCAACCCTCCTCAGGTTAGTGGTTATTAACAGAATATGTATACGCTTGCACATTCTTGTAAGGGTTGCATATGATTAAATAATTGTTTTGGCAGTCGGCTATCTTGGGTATGCATTCGATAGTATCCCGACCAATGGTTGTTGGAGGTAATGTAGTTCCAAGACCGATGATGTACATTGCCCTCACTTATGACCATAGGCTGATCGATGGAAGAGAGGCCGTCTTCTTCTTGCGTCGTATCAAGGATGTCGTGGAAGACCCTCGCAGGCTGCTACTTGATGTATGAAGGTCCTAACCCCAATAGCAACTGCTTTGATATCTCACGGTTTTCTGGCACTCATAAACGTTGGATGCATAACTTGTGGCTTCATAAACAAGAAGAATAAATGCCTGAAGTTTTGTAGGGTTTTATTTGTCGATTCACACTTTTGAACCACATCGAGTATTGCTCGGGGTTCCGAGTTCAAGTTTTGCAGTTCACATTTGCATGAAATGCTTTGGCGTTGCCTTAATAAAGAGTTTTCTAGCTATTGCTCAACATATTTGAGGTCTATATTTTAGTTGCTAATGAATCATCACCAATTCATTAATGGCGTTGCAAGAGATGCGTAATATCAACACAAGCTAGTTCAATGGAGGTTAATGGATTTCTAAATAGCCCAATTTTACTTCCATACCCATGTCTCCAAACTTGTGCTTGAATTACGGATGTCAGACATGGATAACTCGGAGAAAATAAAGAGTCGGAGTCGCTGAGGCCACGAGTTATTCTGATACTCCTTGTCAACCCACAACTGAAGTTTTGAAGCGGATACCATAAATCGTATGTGTTTCCTTTTTCTCAGAAACCAAAACCATTGCAGCAATTTGTTACGACTGTTCTAGGAACATTGTTTGTTGTTTTCATCCTGATCACTTACAATGTGATAGAGATACAGAAAAGACCGTTCAAAAGCGGTATTCTTAATCTGACCAACGAGGTTCTATTGGCGAATCGAGTCCCAGAAGCGTCTCTAACACTTGGTCATACCAAGTTATTAAGGAACTGAAGACAATGTAAAAGGCTAATACCGAGTCACAGTTTCTTATCAACAAAAGAGTTGGTAAACTGCTGCAACATGTGGGTTTCTCCATTGTTGCCTTCTGAAACCCTCTTTTTGCTTCACATGTGGAAGCCTTGAGCTTTATTAGTTGACCTTCCACATAACTTGACTTTGTTAAAAGTCAATGCCCCCACCTTTTAGTCTTCCCCAATCACCCACTCTGCTTCACTATCATACATCTTGATGCAACTAATCAAAGATCAATGGAATATTAGGTTACAATGCAAAAGTTTTTGACTATCTAACAACCTACTATTTATCTGTCGTTTCAATTTTTTTTATTTTTTTTAAAAATCGGGTTTTTCGAATAAATTGCGAATTACCCTTACAATAAATTGCGAATATGTTAAAGATTAGTTAATTAATTATTACTCTTTACCTAACCTAAACTTACAGAGAAGCCAAATTGGACTTCTTTTTCTTATCTGATCTAACTAACCCTTAAGTCTCCTCTGTTCACACAAGTTAGTCACCGGAGCCGGAGGCATGCTACTGGCCGGTGGTCTCTGCCTGATCTCTAAAACTATGGGAAATTTGGGGGAAATTAGCATTGGAATAGAACAAGAAATTTCATTAACTTTCTCAAAATTGAGATCATCTGATACAAATTTATCATCTGTTACACTGTCAAATACAAAAATAGTGGTGAAATCAATGGTGTTTTCTGCAGAACTGTCTAAGAAGAAATCTTCATCGAAGATCGAGCTTTCAGTTTCGATTTGTTCTTCGAATGAATCAATGGATGACACAGTTGTGAATTGAAATTCACTGTGTTGTTCAATGCCACTGCTTCTAACTGTGATCCAATCTTCTTCACTCAGTGTCCAATTGGAGGGTGGTGGCAGAGTTGATTGAAGCAATTTCTTGATTCTATCAGCTGGAGAATTCATGGAAATCGGATTCTTGGGACATTCCATCACGTTAAGTGAATCCCAGAAACCTTGATCCAACACAGAATTAGGAGAATCCATGGTGGATTCCATCACTTCCATCAAAAGGGTTTCCGATTCTTCCAAAAATGGATGTTGAAGCAATTCTTTAGCTGTCCATCTCTCTTTTAAATCCCTCTTCAAACACTTTCCTAGAAAATCCTTTCCTTCCTCAGATAACCATCTCGGAATCTCCGGTACTTCACCGGAAAATCCGATCTTATAAAGCGCCGATACCGGATCCTTCAGCTCTGGCCACGGTGAATTCCCGGAAATCATCTCTATAATTGTACATCCAAGAGCCCATATATCAGCTTCAAAACCCTGCTCCTCCCCGCGTGCCACCTCCGGCGCCATGAAAGCCGGTGTACCGGAAATCATCGTCGTATCGAAACAGTCTTTTCTCATCAATTTAGCACACCCCAAATCAGCAATCTTTGCACCTTCTTTTCCAATCAAAATGTTTTGGCTCTTGATGTCACAATGTGCCACTCCATTAACATGAAGGTAACTCAAACCCTGCATAATCTGTTGAGTATAAAATCTAACTTTCTCTTCGCCCAATCTCCCTCCAACCCTTTGGATTTCATCAGAAAGCGTGCCGCCGGCGACGTACTCCATGCATAGATTGTACGTAGGCTCGTCGTTCACTTCATTCGTAACACCGTGCCCTATGTATTTAACAATGTGGGGGCAACTTAATTTGGACAAGAGATAATTCTCTCGTTGTAACAACTTAGAGCGACATAACTCGGTCGACTTAACAGCAAAAAGCTCGCCGGAAGAGATCACGGTGGCCAGAGAAACGGTGGCGGTGGAGCCTCGGCCTATGGCTGGTCCTCTAATCCACTCCATTAGAGAAGGAAAAAAGAACCAAGAAACAGAAAAGGAAAAAAATATGGGTCTTCTCACTATGCTGATGCTCTGCTATACAAGAAAAATGCATATATATAAAGCATATGCAACAACTTAGGAAAGATTCTTAATGACAAAAATCATTTGCTTTTCAGACTTTTTTTTTTTTGAGTTCAAACAGCAAGAATGTACCACGTGTCGTGATATTAGTGCATGCTGACCGCCAATGGACGGCGTCATGGCGGTTGCTTTACCTTGTAATAAAGCCATTCACATGAAGACACATGAGCACGTGCCGAGATTGCGGGTTGTTAATTATAATAGGTCAAATTATGGTTTCGGTTCTTTTACTATCTTAAATTTGATATTTAATCCTTATACTTTTTATTATTATTTTGGGTTAGTATAATGTAGTATCTATTCAAATATAATTCTCAACCATTTGACATTGAACGCTCATATCACTGACATTCATGGTGCTCGAACTCAAGACCTCAAGGAATAATAACAATTCTTTTACCAATAAGGTCGTTTGGTTCGTGCTTAATCATTATGCTTAAAATTGACATGATCTTGTCCTCTACTTGTGTAATGCCATTGGTTAGTTTACCTATTCAGTGACAGATCCAAAAAATATTTTTATAGATGTGTACACATATATTAACAACACCATTTTTGTATGGACGTGGACACACATAAGATCTTAGGGTGGGCATAGTTCGTATAAATGTATAATAAATCCTAAATTTGAGTATAATACAAGGACCAAACCAAAGTTTGACCATTTCAATATTATTAGTTACATTCTTTTCTTTTAACTAGTGTTGTGAATTATTGCGGCGCAAAGTTGAGTAATATGCACTTTTAACAAATTGAACACAATCGGGCACTTTTAATTATTTTATTGTTTAGCTTTACTTACAAGCTGTAAAGAAAGACTTGTTTCTTTTGCAGTGGATAAAACAAAGGGTTACCCACAGTAAAAATACTATGCTCCAAACTTAGAAAAATAAGAACGATGAGCTGGAAAAATTATATTAAAAAATTTAAATTCATAAAATCTATATTCGAGATTGATTCAAATCTAAAAAGACCTAAACTTTAAAAAATTTAAATATGAAAAAATTAAATTAAAGGAAAAAAACTTTAACTCAAATGATTTAATTTAAAAAGATTTAAATATAAAATTATTTGAACTCGAACCAATACGATTGTAACTTCTAATTATATTTGTACAAAACTCGATTATTCATTTGATTCAGTATTGTTGGCAATGTGAAATGAAGAAAGCATTTTTTTAAAGGAATAAAGGGCATAAAAACATGTTGTTGCTGCTGCAATGGCTGTGGGCAAATTGATTGGAGGAATCAAAGCAAAAGTAAACATAAGCCAGCAAAAGAGGTTACAACCAAACACACACATTAAAAAAAACACACAAACTGTTGATTCATTTTGTTTTCAAAGTCTGCAAGATTACTTGTAATGAGGTGTTTGGAAATAGTTTTAGGGTTTTAAATGAAACTTTTTGAGTGAGTTTCAAGCAATTCCAAGCTAGAAAAAAAGTCAACTTTTTATTTATTTATTGAAATCCCATTTGTCATTTAAACTCAAATTTTTAATTATTCTAGTAACAGTTAATTGGTCTAATAGGGCGAGACACAAGATCCCTAAAATTTCTGTAATATTTAATCTAAATTAATTGATTAATAGATTAAATATGGATAGTTAAAAGAAAGACTTAACACACATGACACTTCTGACAGTATTTTAAAGCTTCAATTTTTTTATAAGCAAAAGTTTCAATCTTTACAGCTAGGTTAACACATGATTTTATGATCCATTTTTACTTTGATCTGAATTTGACAGAGGCCAACTATGCCACTACTCCCACTCTTCCTTCTTTCTTTTTTTTCCATTTCCATAACTCTCAATCTTTAGTGATAAGATAATATCAACTCAGGTGTGTTTATGGTTAGGATCTACTTACACAATGTAAAATTATTTTAGTTTTGCATATATTTAGAATCATTGGATGAGTGAAAATAGATGACTGATATTATCTTATTGTTTTTTTCTTCTAGTGAATATCTTCTAATTTCTTACTGTTAATCTCATCCATCTATTTTTACTCATCCAACGGTCCTAAATATATGTAAAACTAAAAGAGTTTTATAGTGTGTAATAGAATCCTATCCACACACAAGCACACGCGCGCACACACACGTAAAATTTTAAAATTGACACCATCAATAAAATAGATAACTAACCGAGGAAAATCCAAATTTTAAAGTATGTATCTATTCACCTTTAAGAACCCGTGAAACCGTCATTGTATACAAACAAGACCGTTTAAACTGAAATTACTTTAAGAGAATAATATTTATTTTTATAATTGAGATGGAGCGGTGGTCATCATCTATAAGTTAAAAACAACTTCATGGGTGCATCCCAATAAAATCCAAAAGGTCCAGTTTGTTGGTTGAGGAATAGGGAAATTGCTTGTACATTGAACATTGGTCATTTACCTATTTGAGTGCTATTAGCTGTACAGTGAAGCAAAAACATTAGATTTAAAAGACGACCGACAATGTGTCATCTTTTAATAATCAAAAACAGCTATAGAAATAATCAATTTGGACAGCTACTCTTTTCCCCCCCCGTCTTTATTGTTTTGTTGCTGGCTGCATTTGTATTGGCAGTTGTGCTTTGGCCTTGCCCTTTACAAATCAATAATGACAGCCTTTTAGTCCTAAATCTTATCTATCTGTTTTGCTAATCATTGTTCCAATCAATGTAATCATTGTTTTCGATCCAGTCTATTTCCCCCCTTCGGATAACTCTTCTTTCTTTATGCTACGATCTTCAAAATTCCTTTTAGTAGTTGTGTTTTTTCGATCGACTGATGTAAAACAGTTTAAAAGTTTAACTAAAACTTTTAGAATTTTTGGAGGTTAAATTGGAATTTTAAAAAATTCAAAGATTCTTTTAAAAAAACAGGAATCTAATTAAATTTTTTAAATATTTTAAGAGATTTAGTGAGATTTTAGAAAATATTTTAGAGGGCCTATTTAGAAATATTTGAAGTGCGTTAGGCTTAATGAGAGTTTATAAATTTTTGGTTCAATTGCTTTTATTAAAAAAATCAAATGTTTATTTAATATTTGTTCAATCGTGGATAATCCTCCTCCTTCAATTCATTCGATTTTTAAAAAAATTTCCAACTACATACCCCAAACAGGAATACCCACCAAATCATATGAATTTAATTTTCATTTAGGGAACATCAAATTCTCACAAAAATCCAACGGATAATGTTATAAAGACAGCTATTTATTTTAATACACTTAGCTGGTAATGTTATCCTAACTATTACACATAGGTTACCTGACTGCGATCATTTCAATGGATGAATCACTTCTATTGTAGAAGAGTAGCGTGTAATCAACTTGCATGCCTTAACTCACTTGAATTAATAAGTGCATCAATGAGCGAGGGTTAAATATTCAATTAGTCCTCGAAGTTTTTCATTTTTCTCACTTTGGTTCTTGTAAACGAGCGAGGGTCAAATGTTTTCCCCACCCAATATTTGAAATACATTCATATGAACTGATTTTGTCTATTCTTGTTTATTTGGACATGCATCTTGAATCATTGGTGTTCAAATACATCCAGTATTTTTCTTTTTTGAACTGTTATTGAAAACGAGAGTTGAATTTTGGTGTTAAAAATAACGGTGGTTCCTTCTATAGATATGAGATTCTCAAAATGGTTACCACGAAGAAGTTCGAGGAAACGACATCAAACTGAACTTAGAATTTTAGAATTTTTCATGTTAGTGGATCCTATAAACCTGAGGGATTTCTTGAAAAATTTATCAAGAAATACATTGTGTTAATATTACTGTGAAAAACCCTGAACATGATATATTTATAATTGAAAATTACATGATCTAATTGAATTGTATTGCATATAGTTTTGTTTAAGATATTGATATGAAAATAAAATGGTAACTTCATCTTGAAAAACTCACGTAAGTAAGCTACAAGTAAAGTCAACTCCACAAAGAAGAAAAGATATTTTCATTATTTATTAAGATAAAAAAAAAATCTACTTGAGACTTCAATTATATCCAATTTAACACAATTAATTAGAATGATAATAGAATCTAAGCTGAACGATAAATGAAAACAAAGTTTGCATACTTTAACAGGATTGACAAATGAAAATAAAATCTAATGCGAGTGATTAAAATATAAATAATATTTATATTAAAAATTTTAAATTTTAAGATGGACACTCTGAACAAACAATACTTATATTTGTCCATGTACCTAATAATAGTTATTAATTTATATATATATATATATTCAATGATTAATATATATATATATATTTAATAAAAGTTAGATGACTCATAAAAGCTAAATCAATGGCACTGAGAGGAACAACAGAGGGTCCTGAAAATTTTAAATATCATATATTAAAATTTCAAGGGTAAATTACACTTTAATACCTAAACTATCAATTTTAATTAATTTTAATACTTAAACTTTTAATTTTTTTAAAATCATACATAACGTTTAATTTTTGTTTCATTTTAATACTCGTCATTATTAACGTATTTAGTACTTAAACTATTAGTTTTAACCCATTTTAATACCTAAACTTTCTATTTTTTATAATAGTACTAAACTTGTTTTGATACCTAAACTTTCAATTTTTTCAACATTTAAGTTTTGGTACTAAAATTGAGACAAAAACTAAACTTCATGTATGATTTCAAAAAAATTAAAAGTTTAGATACTAAAATAGATCAAAACTGATAGTTTAAATATTAAATACTTAGTTTACCCAAATTTTAAAAGTTCGCTTTCCTAACATAAAACCTTGAGCCCTCCCCAATGACATCATTATGCTATTACAGGTCAAGCGATAAGTACGGTATCTCATGAAATTCTTTCTTAATCAAAAAGTGCAAGGCAAGAAACAATCCCGGAGAAAGTCGCAGATCGCGTGGTGCAAAACATTTACATGCAATTTTTGTTTGTGCAAACTTTTACCAG